ATACCTCACGCATTGCGGCAAACACAGTGCGATCAGCGTGAGACGCATAGCGCCTACAAGACTGCGTGAATACTTCACGCATCGCGTCAAACACGGTGCGGTCTGCGAGGCACGGCGGTGGAAATTAAAATCATTAATCCACATTTATGTTTGTTCTTTCACAATTTTTTCGTTCATTTCTTATGAATGGAAGGCGTTGTCCACACAGAGGACATAGTGTTGACAGGGCTTTCCCAAAAAATGTGTTCAACACCAGTAAATGCGTCTTATGCACCCCTCCCCCGCTGGAACGTTCATTTGATGGTTTTCATTGATGTTTCAAAACGAATGAGAAGGGGGCGGCAAGTAGGTAAATCCGGCTCTGTTCTCGGCCACGGTCATTTTATGATTTTCCTTGTTTTGTACGAGCTCATTTTCTAATGAGGAATCAAAGTTCTTTCTCAATTTGTTGGAATTTGTTTGGGAAAGACGATTTAACTCTCAGGAGTTTCAGATAAGAAAATCGACTTTTTCCATCTTTAGCTGATTCTCCATAGGTTTTTTAAAACCATAAGAAATTGTGCGCGATTTTCATCGCAGCATCGCGCGAAATACGCGATTTTTCCAGCGGTTTTGTGACAAAATATCAAATTAAGCGTTGTTCACCTCAACATCGCTGCAAATAGACGGGTTTCCATGAGGTTTTGTAGAGACATCGGTAAGTAATAGCGCATTTTCCGAGGAAGATGGCGGCATTCATGAACGTCGGTAATTTGCCAAAGGCGAAAAGTTAAGATTCTCCTTCATCTTCGCGTGATACCACATACCTACTCAGGAGTTCGAATAGTTGCGCGCAGGCCTACTCCGGAGTTCAAATAGTTGCGCGCTTAGTGTCTAAAACATTTTTATGCAATTAAATTCCCGTCAATGTTAAAAAAAAAAAAACCCGCAATTGAGTCAGCAGTTTGGTAGAACATAGAAAACTATACGCGATTATCATCTCATTGCGTCAATGACGCTCGTTTTGCAAAAACATGAAAAAATACGCATAACACACGGCTGTACCGGACGTCATCATCGATCAGCTGATAAAATGAGTCAAAGTAGCTCACGCATATCAAGCTTGCCCTGGCATGATCCACCTGGAGAGACGCTCCCACCCCCTGTGGTGTCTAGCCCCTTGCGCAACCCTTCCCCAATTCCCGCTGACAAAGAGCCCCATGCCGTGTGGGTTCAGGTTGAGTTCCGGGGTGAAAAAAGCAGCACTGATTCAGTGGCGATTTTAAAAGCTGACAATACTGCTCTTCTTCCATTTAAATCCATTAAAAAAATCGAATTTACCCGAGGCAAGCTGCCACACTTCGTATCGATTTTTCAGCATACATTTGAATGGAGGAAAAACAGCGGGTCCGACAATCAAGAATCGCTCCCGACAGGGTTGCCACAAAATTTAGAAAATGAAATTCCCTGACATTTCTCGGACACATTTGAATAAAATTCCCTGACAAATGAAACATGCAATATGGCAAAAGAGACATAATTTGGCCCCATGCCCCGTCTGCTATTTTACCCTTAAAAACCACAAAAATTCGATTATTTTCCAAAAAACACCCTATTTCGAAATTGGCCAAAAACCCATTATGCAGTACCCTACTACAACCTGCGATTTAAATTTTTGATTTTGAATGGAAATAACACTTCGAAACCCTCATTTTATCATCAAATTCGATATTTTGGAGTCCGCAACTTGGCAACGCTGCCGCGGGAGCAAAACATTTTGTATGGGCATGAAAATTTCAGAATAGTCATATCGTATACCAGGTGAAAACATACTATAAATTCAGATAGGTCAAGGCAAGGATGAGGGAGAGGGGATTTAATTTGTCGCCCCAAGGCCAATTTTGCTATTTTACCCCTAAACAACCACAAAAATGCGATTATTTTTCGAGGAGCTCCGACAACCTATTTCGAAATTGCCCAAAAATCCATCAGGGAGTACCCCACTACAACCTCCAACTTGAATTTTTTATGTACATTCAAAGTGCATAATAAGTGAGTAATTGAGTACCTAAATTACCGACAACCAAATCGTAAAAATCGACTAAGGGTGGATTCAACCACCAAAACCGAGGGAAGAGGAATGGGGAAACGAGTGACGTTTTCCCTTTTTCCTGGCTTCCTCACATCTCTCCTCTGCTTTCATTTTCTTTCCTTTCATGTAGGAGGAGACACCACCCCCCACCCCCCATTAAGGGAAAGAAAAATTAAGAAATGATCATATTTGTAGACAGGTTCTTCCAAAATTGCGCATAGTGTATCCCACTGGAAAAGACTCTGAATTCCTTCATTTCATGGACTTTCTATTTGACAAGTTTCTCTTAGAGTACCTATATGGGGAGAATATGGACATGTATATGGAGGTTAGGGCATGGAGCTTTCAGGGCCCAAATAGGCAGCCAACCTATTAACTCGAATTATCCAGGATGATTCTACGACCCCTTGTTCATAGAAGGATTTAAGAGAGGGAGCACCAGATTAAAATTAACTTTTTATATTTGTCTGAATTTTGTATTTGATTCTTGTTAATGTGAAATGTACTTGTTCTGCCGAACAAGCTGTGCTCAGTGGCACGTCAATGGCTCAATGGGATGTCACTGTATTGTCACTTTAAATCTTGAAAACATTTTTTTCTTTTAAATAAATAAATAAAGCATGTACTTGAATGGGTTCTTGCATAATTTTGCTCATTTTTCTGGAAAGAAACTCATTAATAAAAAATCTTGGCCATTTTGATTCAATGTTGGAATTCGAAGATTAGACGCGGCATTTTTCTGGGGTTTTTCGTGACAGAAGGTTGGCTGCCCCTTTGGGCCCTGAGAGCTCTATCTTTCGACATGTCCTTTCTCTCTGCATGTGGGTAGTTTAGCATATCTAAACTTTGGCCTCAGTTTTAAAACAAAAATTTAGAGGCTTGAAGGACAAGTTGGATAAGTTGAGAGGCTTAGAGGACAAGTGAGATAAGTAAGAGCAGTTATTGAAAATAAAGTTTTACAAATGAATGATTTCAACAACTAATAAGCATCAAAAAGTGAGTTTGAACTTTCTTTTACCATTTGGCTCTGCGTAATTTGGAAACTTTAAAAATGTATTTCTTGAAAAAGCATAAACTGCATTTATCCCACTTGTCTTTCAAGAACTGCATTTATCCTACTTGTCTTTCAAGTCCTATGATCGTTTTGTTTCAGATCACTGTTTTCTAAAATGCGAAAAACAGTAGCACATTCACAGCAACACCTAAAAGCGCCCACCAGATTTTTAGTTTCTGCTCTTCATTTGCTCTTGGAATTTTTGGGTGTGCTAAATTCGGATGGAAAATGAATGGGTTCAAGTTAACACCTGTACCGTTTTTATTAAGATATAACCTTTTGATCAGAAAGTTATAAACTGCTAGGCTAAGGGTTTAATTTCAACTGAAATGACACTTCCTTCCAGTATCCTGAGTCTGTTTGGTTTACTCAATGATTATACTAGGGCTAACTTGAATTAACTGCTTTGAAAGCACACGACAAAGTCAGCTAATACTTTTTCTAATTCATGATTAATTTTAAAAAACCACAATTTTACATGACGTTTCGTACGACCTTCTCGTACAATGATCTTTTAAAGAGAAACTTTCTACATGTCAAAGTCGAAAAAATAAGGGTTGAATAGTGAATTTCGGGGACATCTCCCATGCGTTTTTTCTATAGAGGGAGATGTGGAACTGTTGCTTTGTGTGTGTGAACACAGCACTGCACTTTGGTAATGTTTTGCAAAATTTGGTTCTTTATGTCAATCTTAGCTTCCAGGCCAGCAAGGAAATAAAAGCTCTCCTAGATTTTTAATTAGATGTCGCAATATGTCCACTAGGTAAGTAATGCGTTTAAAAATGCTGAAATTGTGCATTTCAGCTCTACTTTTCTCAAGGCACATACCAAGTTTGATTCAAAGGCTATTCGTGCTTAGGAAGTTGTAAGGAACATAACATCAAGAACTTATTGACAGAATTTCTTGGGTAGACCTTCTTAAAATCGAGTCACATTTAAAATTTCACCGATCTAATTTAGACAATGTAGGACTACCTCTGATGCAGGCCATATGAGTCTCAGTTTCAAGATCCTCTAAAAAACCATCCGCATTATTGCATGAGTGCCATTAGTTGACTGACAGCAGCAGATTTTGAAGCAATCGGAAACGGTCGATAGGTCATCAAAAAATAAGATTTTATCCTCTCCTTCTGGTTCAATCAATCCCTTCCACTTACGCGTAAAAAGTTGAGCGAGAATTATCAAAAACTGCTTTTAAAATAAAGGGTAGAATTCAGAAAATTGCTTCGGAGAGACAAAGCGAGGCAAGGGTGACATGACATTACCAGGACCTACACTCGACTGGAACACAACAAAGGAAACCGAGATGCCAGGGTCCAAGACATGGGACGGAATGTCCTTAGGGTCCTGTTTTAAATGGAAACATTGACAGACAATGTAGCAATTAGAAAATTTATATGATTATCATCGACCTCCTTGCCGTCACTGTAATGCCGTCGGGTGAGTGAAGACCCGGGGACAGAAACAGATCAACCCAGTTCAAAGGTACTTGACCTAATTAAAAAAGCAATAAAGTGGAGAGGGATTCAAAAGGGACTGAATAATTCTGGAGGAAAATACTATCATCAAAAATCCTTCGGTATATTGTCGAGTGCTCAGTCCAATACCCTGCAGATGGCTTGAAGGAAAATTATGAGTACATGGTCGAAATAATTCACGTCGAATAAGCAGGTTACGTCACGGACCTATGGATCAGCTGACTCCTTTGTTTGAATCAAGCCAAACAAACTAAACGCGATAAATTGATAATTAATTGGATGGGAAGGGTTTCGAATGGCAAAAATAAGGTCATAAACGACGGCTGAATACTTCAGAAGAGGGATTATGAAAGGCAATGGACAAAAACACACAATAAAATACGAAATAAATTCATACCTTTGTAGTGCACTCTCAGGTTGCTTTGGGATAATCCGATGTAATTGTATTTATCTTTAGGGCTCCAAGATCGAGGCAAAGGAGTTTCTTCTTCATTCACCATGGGATACAATAGTTTTAAACGATCCACAACTTGTTCACTATCAGTTCGAACATTATTCACAGAACTCGTCCGACCATTCGGAGCAGCGGCCATTTCTGAACTTCTCATTTACCATGAATTCACTACTGAAAAGTTGGGGAGATCATTTACGATAAAATACGCAAAAGTACAGAGGGCAGCACTTTCTAACCTCAGGAGAACGATCCGTCCAGGCATTGAAAAAATCTACTTTCGAGGACCATTTTGTAGAGGGTAGAGGTAGATCAACGCGAAATTGGGAGAAGCACACTCGATGGTTTCGCGACTCACAGACTCACACCACCACCACACGAGCAAGCTCGACACACGGTCAACCCAGCGAGCGAACACGCGTCACTCGAACTCGATCTGTGATAACAACTTGCACACTGATGAGATGACAACAGAACGGAGGCGCTTGTCCCAAGCCTCAACTCACTTCTGTAACCTTGGCAAGGAGAGATCTTGAAATCGCTTATCGGAATTCTTGGCTTGTCGTGCGTCTTTGCTGAAAAATTGCAAAATTCACCTACCTCTCCCAGCGTAAAAATAATTTATCCAACTTTGACGTGCCAAAGTTTTCAGGGAGGAACGGCAGGGTTGCGTTGCATTGAGTATCGATGGCCCATCTAGCCATCGCGTCGACTTCTTTATTATGAATTTCTCTAAAATGACGTAACAATATATTATTCGCACCTTTTTTCACCGAGTACGCATTTACCTCGCTCATATCCTGAGAGTCGCATCGTAAACTTTTATACTCAATCAACAGGATAATAATTGGACATTTTATTGCGATCTTAAGTTCTGCCACGGTTGTCAAATTGTCCCATCTATTCAGTACTGCACTGCAATGATGAGGTCTAAAGTCTGAAATATTTTGACACAAAGACGAAGCTTCTATCATCAAGAAGGATGATCAGATTTTAGCATTGTTACATGATCCACAAAGACCACTACAAGCGCTCGGTATTTGTTAAGCTAGCAACGTGAAGAAGCTGCTAAGTCCAAAGGTTGAAATTATCGAATTAGAAATTTTTCTGCTAAGGGTCAGGTCAGGGCCAACTCATAAAACTTGTGGCTAGGGATAAGGGAGTATAATCGACTAGGTTTGCAAACTATGTAAGGGACAGGCAGGGGGGGAAAGAGGAGGTATTTTTCGTTGCCTAATTGACGACAAAATTATTAGATTATATACATTGTTGCATGAGAGAATCTTGGGAATTCCCGAGGCAAGGCAACGCGGTGCTGCCGTCGAGCGGAGTTGCGTTCCAAATAAGGACACCTTATCATAACAAACAAGATGGCTGAAGTGGAAGCATCATCGTCTGCTACGGAGCTCCCTGAAATTTCAAAATTGGACGCTGAAGATGAACCCGCCTCGAAGAAAATCAAATTGTCGAAGCCCCCGGAAAATCCTGAACGGCTGGAGCAGAGACTCGGAGGAATTTTGTGCTGTGCTGTTTGTCTAGATCTTCCCAGAGCTGCTGTCTATCAGGTTAGTGACAGATCAGCTGTTCTTTGTTATGAATGACCCAATTCCAAATGTCGCAATTAACTGCGTAATTAATCCTTCTACTATTTTACAAAGTTAAAATGCCTTTGACTTTTGCTTTTGTCTAGCGTTTGATGCCTCGCTTTTCCACCTTTCATGTTGAACAATGCATTAAACTTGAAACCTATGTCGCCTTTTTCTCTTGACCCACGAAATCCTCCTGACAAGCCATTGTTTTGGTCCTGCCCCTAGTAACTGGGGCTCTGATGATGAAGTCAAAAAAAAAAAAAAATTCCTCTGAGAAGTTCCTCATCTGCTTGCCAGCTTCTTCTAATCAATCTTTATAGGTCACTGAAACTGCCTCAACTAAAGTTATCCTGCTAGGGACCCAGAAAATAAAAATATTCATTTTGAAACTTCCCTGATTCACTCATTCTGCCATCGGTCAAGTCTCTTCATTTTTGCCTAGAGCTGAAAATTTCAAATATCCTAGGAAAGGAGGTCTCAAAGTCGAAATGATTTCTCCTTCAATGTCTTTTCCGTCCACCCATTAAGTTCAAGGTATCCCTTCGTCTCAGCCCAAGGATTCAAGGGCTACCCCTCCCTTTTGTCTCACCTTTTTAGGCTGCATGTCAAGTTCAACATTAAGAGACTTGTACCAGGCACTTTCATGCATCCGCCTGCCTTTCTTCTATTCTTGGAGTTTCAGTTCATTTAAGCCCAAGGTTAAGTTGTTTGTAAAACTATCAACTTGGAAGAATTCGTACTTAGGGGTCGTCTAGCCTGAAGCCTTACCACCCCTTCCAAGGGGACCAGATGCTTCCTATTTTGTGCACCTGATCCTTGTAAAGTGTTCGCTTTCTCAGAAAGCCACAGGCAGTCAGATTGAGTCATGTGGAGCTATTGCTAGCCTTTGAAACTATTTATTTCAAATGCTCATAGCATTACTTTCACTGCAAATTCGGATCTGAAATACATACTCAATATTCCTGAGAGAAGTAGTAAGCTTTTAGCACTGGAATTTGAAAATTGATTATTTTCACCTCAATTCCGTCTTTCCCTTAAACTAGACTTGAGGATTTTTCAAATATCATATCCACAAGAAGCAGATTAATGTCTTGGGAGTATTCGACCAAATTAAAAATTGATCCGAGAAATTGAGGCAGTACCTAGTTCAACAGAAAATAATTAATTGCTTTACCCATTAGCTGTTGATATCCATCAGGAAGAATATTTGCTGTACCCACTTTTGCCTTGATTTTAGAGGTATTTTACTTCTAAAGAGTAGGTAATTAACTACTCCTGGGACATGTATCTACTATTTACTTTATGATGTAAAAATGAGCAATACAAAACAGCACTGGCCGCACAGAAAAATCAAATTGCTGATTGAACAATTTTGTAGTTTAAAAAAGTGACTGCAATGTTCCCATGTAGATTTTACAATTAAAAATATGCTACTTTTAACAACCCTTTGGTTATATTAGCTCTCCACTATTGTAAAATGTACTTTTGAAACATTGCTGTCACTTTTTTTAACGATTGAATTGTTGAATCAGCAGTCCATATTTTTCAGTGCATGCATGACCTCTGATCAGTTGAGATATCCCCAGTTTCTATTGAGCCTAACAATAATCATTATGGTTAGGTAGGTACTCAAAATTAATCTCGCAAATCAATTAATGGCTCCCTAATGGAGATGTTGCATGTGTGAGAAATTTGCGATTTGACTGTTGACACTTAGTCTTATGTAAAAGTTCGCAAGAAACACTATGGTGCTACTAGTTTTTCCTGAAATCAAATCCCAAGCTCCAAAAAAGCTCTCAAGTTGAGGCAAAAATGGAGGGGATATTCCACGCTATCCTGAGAGTCCACCTCTACATCAAAAACAAACTCTCCATGCAAAGATAGGGAGCAAGTACATTGACAGGGCTGCCACTTTATTTTGGGGACTCCAAAACTGAAAACACGGCAACCCTGCTAATGTACTTGCTCCCTATCTTTGCATGGAGAGATCGTTTTGATGTAGGTAGAGGTGGACTCTCAGGATAGCGGGGGATATCCCCTCCATTTTGGCCTCAACTTTAGAGCTTTTTTTGAGCTCTGGAGTTGATTTCAGAGAAAATCAGTGGGACCATTGTGTTTCTTGCGAACTTTTACGTAAGAATCAACAGTCAAATCGCAAATTCCTCACACATGCAACATCTCCATTTTCAGTGTCATCTCAGCTTTCTCAATTGTATACTCTTAACAAGATATTCAGGATCAGAAAAATTAATTCTAAAAGTTGTAAAAAGATGCTAGCAAGCCTCTTAATTTGGGACATCCTGAAGAACAACACTTATTAGTGGACTAAGTTGCCACCCAACCTACAATAGATCCTATCTCCTCTGTCATGATCTCCAGTTTATGAATGATGACAGTTTCTGATAACGGAATCGAAATCAAATTGAGATGACCTAATTAGTTATGTTGAGTGCTTGTTGCTTACATGCCGTTAATTTTCTTGCAGTGCACGAATGGGCACCTGATGTGTGCAGGATGTTTCACGCATGTTCTGGCTGATGCACGTTTACGGGATGAAGTGGCAACTTGTCCGAACTGCAGAATAGACATCAGTGAAACTCCTCCATCCAGGAATCTAGCTGTGGAAAAAGCTGTGAATGAGTTGCCTTCCGAGTGTCAGTACTGCAATAAAGAATTCCCGAGGAACATTCTCGAGCGCCATGAAACTACTCTATGTGATGAGAGGTGAATAGACAGGTTTTTTATTTTGTTTAGGGCTGTCCAGGGTGTCTACAAGTCCGGAAATAGTACTGACTTTTTAAAGGCTGCCGGGAAGTACTGAATACTACATCATGTGATACGATGTCTTTTTCATGTAGTCATTTTTCAGTTAAATTTTACTTTTCACGTGGCTTTTTCTTCCCCTCCAGTATTTTCCCAAAGTCACGCAACATAGTTTCTGTCAATACTTACATGTCATGGAAAAAACAATGAAAGTAACATGGGTAGGTATTAACTTAGCTGATCAATCCACAGGTAAAAAATGCACTACTGAACAAGTGAAGTATGTAACAAAATAATTAAAGTTTTGAAGTGCAAGTGAAAATCCATTGACCTCCCCCAAAAATTAGATTTTTTTCTCTTTTCCCCTTGTACTTGTATGAAATTTTCTCATCACTCTCCTCTCTTGTGACCTTACACTAAAATATTTTTTTAGGACAACTGTTTGCCGGTTCAGTCGAATTGGCTGTCCGTGGCGAGGACCGTTCCATGAGTCAACTGAGCATGAAAAGGTGTGTGCTCACCCCAATAAATCCGGCCTAGAAGTAATGGAAGCGCTCAAAGTCATTGATACTAAAGCTGAAGAAGAGAAACACCTATATGACTCAATCTTTGATTTATTATCGTACGAAAAAATATTTTTCAACGGTGAGTATTTAAAAACTGTTGTGCTTATCTGGTAAGTGCTTTTCAGGATGTAGAGTGACCAGGGAAGTCAGGGAGAAAAAAGGTGTCTCTGGGAGTGTGGGGGTGTCTCGAGGTGTCCTACGTGAAATGGTATTTTTCCGTAACTTAACGCCGCCTTGATATTGAGCCTTGCAGCCCTATCTCCTTGTCTGTAGTGAATTTTTCCCTTGGAAATCCATGCCCCTACCGATCCGTAAACCAATCTGCCTAGCTATGTTTACTTAAGTATTTCTTTCGATTTGGAATAAGAGATCAGGAATGTACAAGGATCATCAGAGAAATCCTTGAAAGTCGGGAGGAAAGGAAAGAAAAGTTTTCTTGACAACCTGCTCTTGCTCAGATTAATTTACAGACCCTGAAAAGTCGATTGGTTTATTTTCTTTGCCGTTGAGTGAAATTTTTGCATTTCTGATCACTGAATTTTTTAAGTTGAAAAGATCATATAAATATGGTGAAATTTTCACCCCTTTCCTTTCAAGACCAGCATTAATTCATGGATGATACGCTCTGAAATCATAGGCCTAATCCTTAACAGCCACTCTACGGCCTACAAAGGGCTTTTTCAGGACTACAGAAAATATGGGTCAAAATTGAGAAAAAGTGAACTCTGGCAGATATTATTAGCCGCTGATTGCTGAATATTCACAGAGATAGGCCTGAAAGATCTCTAAATTTACTTAACTTACAAAAAATTAAAAACTGTAGGAAACTGAAAGTTTTAAGTAATGAATGATGTAGCTCCCTTCTTTTACATATTGTGTACTCTACTTCGTTCCTCTGCTTAATTTTTCTTCTTTGTAAATCTACCCTCATATCGTTCATTTGTTTTCTGAAACATTGAAGGTGAGACCGAACCTCTCTTCACTCCTGCATATTTTCACTTGACAACTGATAACCTTTGAGCACTTAAAAAATAATGACATAAATCTCTCTCACTTGACATCACATATTCATGAGGCAATTTTTTTTATTTATTAACAGGAAGCAAAATAAAACAAAGTTACGTAAGAGGAGCAAAAGTACCTGCAGTGAAAACCCTTTGACAATAGACAATTTTCCCTTATGATAGTTGAGTTTTGAATACATGCTTTCTGATGGAATTTTTGCACAATTTTTTGTTCCCATGTAATTATGGAAACCTTAGAGGACTCTTCATGGGGAAAATTTACCAGCCCCATTGCCTAAATTGTTGGCAGTGTGTAAGAGAGTCTTAGTAATTTTAAAGCCACCAAGTTCACTAGTTTTTCCCAATTGAGCTTCGAGTTGTAAAAGTTCAACCATTTTCAACAATAAATATCCATGACTGAAGATTAAAAATGAATATCTCAGATCGAGATGAGGTCTCTGATGGAATGTAGCCAAGTCCATTGAAGTTGAAGCTGTACATTTACGAATCATTTTTCAAAAGTGAACCTTTCTAATTCGATCATTTTATTTTTACAGATTTTCAGCTGAAACCATTCAGGACAGACGAATTTGTGCACAAATTGTATTATGAGACGAGTCGCTTTTCAGCATTTAACAACCAATGGGTGGTGAAAGCACGCATCAATAACAGTCAGCGTGATCCAACGCTGAGTTCTGAGCGTGACATAACCTACCAGGTAAATTATTCCTCGATTCCATCGAGGATATGCCTTTGTTAGTGGTAAGTACCTCCTTTATCCTCAATTCTCCAGTGTCTTCTCTTCACCTGATAATGTCACCTCTGCCATTGTGGGTTGTGTAGTCCTTTCGCAGGATAGGTTACCAACCGGGCCCCACCATGGAAGCGACCGTCTCACGTTGAAGAACGCCTAACAGCTCAAAGCCGTCGTGGTTTCACATCGAGGATGAACCAGGATTGAATCCACATTCCACACGCCATTGGATTATGATACGGGTATAGATATCAGTTTACTTTCGAAGCTTATTTAAATTTCGTTAAATTGTAAGATTTACTGACCTAAGAGGTGAAAAAGGTTCCACATTCCTGTGTAGCAGTCTTTAACCTTGTGATGTAATAATTTTCCCCAGATTATTGTAAATTTTACTGAAAAATTCTTCAAGATTTCAATCAAAATCATCTTTCTTTTCTGTGAAGTTTTAAGATATTAGTCTACCGCCAAATTAGGAACATTTTTCACCCTTGGGCAAGGTCGTGCTTGTAGCTAAAAAGAACTGGAAGGGCTGAGCTATGCATCGAAAGTTAGTGATTACTTGATACAATTTGGTCCATTTGAAAGTAAAGAAATTCAAAACTTGATCACTCTGAAAATAAACAAGTAAGGTCCCCTCCAAGTGTACAACCGAAACACTTGGGTATAAAACTTGGATGGCTGAATAAAACCCTTTGAGTTCCTTTTCAGCTACGGCCCTGATACTTGGCAGAATATGAAAGCAAAAATATCTTGTTTTTCAACTATCTTGAGAGATTTGAGTCTTGATTAGAAAGTCAATCATAACTGAACTTCTCAATTTTCTTTTTCAAAGCTGTTTTATGGCAACAAAATGTTTTACTTCCTTAATTTGCTTTCATATTCTGTGCTTCTCTCTTTGTCTTCCCCTCTTTCATTGTTTACAGTTATATTGTGACTCAGTGATAGATTATCCTTTTAAAAGTCAGCTCTAGCTTTGTCTTGAGTGAAATTAGTGCTCAAGTGTTAGTATGTTCTTGTTAAAGTGTTCTCAGAAGTGCTACAATATCTTAAGTCTTCGAATCACCTTATATTTAAGGTGAAAAATTTTGGCTGAGCAATTTCTTCCTCCAATAAGTCTCAGTGCAATGCCACATGTCAGCTGTGACTTCAAAAGGACAAGGGCTGAGTCTTAGGGGATGAGTGCCGAACAGTAGCAAACAGTTTGGCTAGTAACTCAGTCAATAATGAAATGTCAGCAGGACCACAACTGAATCTTTAAAAGTATTATCCCAACATTGAAATGAAGTTCTTAGATGTCCCATTACAGATAAAGTGCTGTCACAGAAAGGTGTTTGGTCTGAAAAATACTTGATCTGAAGGATAGCGATTCTTCAAACTACAAAAATAGAGGGACTTCATCATGAATGTGAGCAAAGCTTTGTGTTGAATTGAAAATGGAAACACCTGAATTATTAAGCCTCTCTCGTATGAAACAAATACTTAATCTACAGCTTTAACGTTGAACTGAATTAACATTTGGACTTGTTTACTCCAAAGACTTCCTGTCATACTTGTTGTAAAGAGACAATTTTCCAAAAGTGTTGATCATACTGAGAAATTTCTTCGTTTTACTATCTTTGCTAATTTTCATAGAGATCTGTCACTGGGTCACATTACCATCTGAATCCATCTTCAAATGGTGCTCTCATTAGATTATCGCTAAAAATAAATGTATTACCCTTATCGATTTTTACTGTAGTAATTAATTCACTGTTTTTTATTTATTTTTTTTTTTTCAATTGATGCGGTTTGTGAATTGAAAAATTAGAATTTCATAGTACATAACATCCTACAAGGAAGCGTATTTTTTTATCTCAGCAAAGAATTAACCCTTACGTTTGCTCTGTCATAAATACCAAATCCCCAGCAACAAACAAAACTCAGAGACTTTGTGGCTGATCACTCAGTCGTTATGACCCTGAAAAATGTAAGAGAAAAATGTATACGTTTTATCTATACACTCACAAGAGAATACCCCCTTACTATCAGCTGCAACTGTCTCCGTGTAAAGTTTGCATCCTTTGAATTATAAATTACATCTTGCATTCTAAAATCAAAGTAGGTAATCATGTTGAAATGTATAATTTCCAAAATGAAAATTTGTTTGAACAAATGTTCAAATTCCATGTGCCGATGCACAAGCACCAGTTTGAAGATGGATCAAACTTGAGAAGGAAGAATTGACACTGATTCAGTCTTCTCTCTCTTCTGTGACCAATTTATTCTCTCTCTTATCTTAAATCCCCATTTCCCTCTAAAACGCAGGCTATGATGAGTCTGAATCGTTTTCTGCTCACTTGAAAGTTTATTAAAAAACTTGAAGAATAGAACTGTGCTCCCTGCACTACAGCCCCTGCCCTTTCTTGATGACAAGTAAGGAAATATTTTGAACTATCGGTATGTTATCTTTTGTTCAAAGCCCTTAAAAATAGTTTGCCATAACAATCAATTCTCAGTAGCTCGATTTGTAATGGCATTGTACACTTGTGGAATTGATGAATAAACATATGAGGTTCCTTTTGTGTTGATCCGCCGGCCAACCTGCAATGGGTACTTTGTGCTCTGAATGAGCAATCCTGGGTTGAAATTTAAGTAATAGAAGCAGCAGTCTCATACCGTATTTCACCTGCCGATTCCCCAACTACTATATTTATATATAGTATATTTTGGAAACCAACCCAGTTAGTTTTCAGAAGTATCTCTGACAAGATATGAGAATTGAAGGAGTCAACGGGCCTATGTTCACAGTATGAGATCTCAAGATGGTGAAATCAGCAAATTATGTCAAAAATTGCCCAACTCATTATCCCTGTTTTTCTAATTTTGGTGCGTATCGATAGACCAAAATAGTTCCCTTATATCTTCATCAAGGAATGTGCATGAAAGAAAAAGTGTACATTGTTTTAACATGTCAGGCTGTCAAGAAAAATCTCAGCAACATCATGCGCTTAGCTAACCATTTCTCTGATGATATCATAAGCCTCGAACGTGAAGTTAACAGATGAGGCTTTTCGACGGCAACACTGCAAAAAAAATGTGTATCCCCGTTGAGTTGTTCCAAAATCTCCGCTCGCATTCTATTTTTTAAAAGGAGACCAAATCAACATCATGTTTGGAACTTTTCTCAGAATTTTCTATACAAAGTGAATAAAAATCACCAGAGTTTCCAAAAAATGATGTTCAGTAGTTTTCCTGAAGTATGATAGAACATCAGCGATGTAACATATATGCATATACAATGTTACGCATTTCTGCAGTTTCCCCACTGAATTATAACATGTATGCTGTGCTGTGCCTATACACCCTGACACGCCAAAGGAGTGTACCCTTCTTCTAGCTAAGGGAAATCAATGGGGACTTTTTACAATTATCTGTGAAAAATTGTTTCGCTTCTCTGAGAGGTGTCTCAACAAATGAGTCAAAATCCTCTATAGGTACTTTCAGTGGTAGTCTTCCTTTCTTGAATAATAAACACCAGTTGAGTGGATAATAATCAGTTCTGTGATGAGAGTGGGTTTTTGAAGAGCCTCAAGCAGTTGATCGCTAGACAGGATTAGATTTAAAGTATCGCGAGACTTACTTCATCAGCGATAAAGTGCACGAAGCATGTCAAACATGTTGAAAATTTCTAAAATCATCAAGTTAATGAGATGTCAGCGTTTACTTTTCATTAATTTGAATTTTGAGCTCACCAAAAGTGTCAAAAGTAACACATGTCTAATCAGCTTTAAAAAATGAGAGTGTCACTGGGTAAATATGAATTCTTGGGCATTAGAAAACAATTTTCTTCTGGTTTATGTAAAATGTCAGTACATGTTGACGAAAATTCAGCGCACGTGGAAAACTTCCATGGAAAGTGTGCAATCAGTTCAGCGTCTGATTTAATGCCAGTATTTTTTTTTTTTTTTTTTAGAAGCGGGAAATTCAAATTCATGAAAGCAAAAACGCTAGTTTCTTTTTGATGAGTTGAAATTCGAAATTTTCAGTGTGTCCACCATTTTCACAGTGAAATTTTTGTGAAATGACACCTGCTTTGATGCTTGGTTCTCATCCTTGTCCAGTGATTCATTTTTAGCGTTTCTGGTTTAAGTCAAAAGTAGTTGTCATGAGTAAGAGAACTTCCCAATTATTGGTTTCAACCTCTATATTCACTCTTAGATGGGAATAAAAGCCTCTGTATATTACCTCTCAATTATTGCATAGTGATTTCTTTCATGTTGTGTGAGAATTTTAAAAATGTTGCCCTTTGGTTAAACTCTGCCTTTTCCTTGGCATCACCAACGCATCTCATGCATGGAGTCAATTAGATAATGGCAGCTCCGTGAGACACTATAAACCAGATGTGCTCTAGTTTGAGGCTCCGTCATTTATTCACGATCACAAGCTGGAATTTTCTGAAGCTTCCCAAGTTTTTATTCAGGAATGTCTGATAACTTGAACAACCCTCACAACATGAAGCTATCCTCACAAGCTCTCTCTTTTCCACTGAATGCTCCATAAGGGGACTTCCCTCAAGTTTTCAAAGCTGAAAGGCCAAGTAAATCGTCATCTCCCAATGTCACCCCTTGATGCCGTCCTCTTTCACGTCGACAAGCTCATGTATCTTTGAAGAGAGTGATAAGCATGAAACATTTAAACCTAAAGGCTTCCATTTTAACGATGAGCTGAGGCCACTCAATAACCATTAAGTATCATTTCTAAGAGGCCCTTATGGATCTCTCCCCCCCCCCCCCCCCCNAATGTGCCAAACCAAGCGCATTATTTTTATTCTATTAATCATCAAGTCTTATTCAGTAAAGCTTTTTTTCCTAGAATGGAACTTGCAATCTGAAACTGACATGTAAGAGAAAAGACAATGGCAAAGGGCAATAGCACTGCCGGCAAAAAATGAAGAGAAGAAAAAAAAATTAAAAAAATACAACTTTAATTCCCAACATTAGAATTTTTTTAAATTTTCTCAACTCTTCCACTCTTTAATTTCTGTCAAGACACTCTGTCTGTATTTTCTGTTGCTTGAAGCTCGAACGTCAGTTCGGCTAAGCTGTTGCTGTGTATTTTAGATCTTAAGTTTCAAACTTTATTTGCAGCCAACATCAGGTGCCAGACAATAATCGTTTGAACCAAATGGACTAGAAGTAAGAAACAAAAAATTCTGACTTGCCGCGACTCGCCTGACAATTTTTTCTTCAACGGAATATGGTCTAGTAGATTCGTTCGTAGTTGTCTGTCTTAACGGGAAACTCGAAAGTGATTTGCACAAAATTTGCCAGACTGCATATTTTCTCACCGAAAGAAGTCAAAACCAAGGAAATCTTTGAAAGTTCTATCGCAACTTAAAGTCGTATACTCACGGAATTGGAATATTTAATGTTTGCTCATCTATCTTGAAATCTCCTTCTCATGACACTTTTTTTTTGTACAAACATCCCTCTCTTGCCAGCTGTGAAATTTTTCCTTCTTCTTTTCTTTTCGTCTGAAGTTCGTCCGTACTTATGTATGAGGAGAATGAATTGTTTCGGTGGTCCGTACTCAAGTATCTAATCTTTTCTAGCCCTTTTGATTATCGGCAGAACTGGGACTTAGTCAGAGCACAAGTATTACACAAACCGAGGGAAAATTGTGCTTGTGTGTGAGCTTTTTCCTTCTCTAATGAGATTTCAGCTTTAAGCTGAACTTTTTACGCATGTCGGCTAAAAAACTCCAACGTCCCGTAGTACAAGTATTCATCGTCCTGAAAGTCTGTGACTCTTGCTTGACAAAAATGGTCATACTGCAATTATCGAGATATTTTCATTCACCCTCTCTCCTTGAGCATAATGAGATTCTTTCGAGAGAAAAGTCTTTGAATAAGAAACCTCTTTATCGCCCTCAGCAAATGGAGAGAGACAAAAGAATACTCAGATTTCAACTAAGTATTGCAGTCGTTACACAGGGAGGCTGAGAAAGAGAGAGAGAGCTACAGAGACACTACAGAAAGATTTCATTATATCCCAATAATTGATTTATGCTAGAAGGGAAAACATCTTATTATCTCATTGTATTTAAAATACATAGAAAGAGAGAAAGTGAGATGAAAGGATGCATATCAATAAGTCTCATTTCAACTAAAGTGTTGGACGTGTTGTAGAAAAAGGAATTTTTCATTGCCATCTGTAAATGATGTAAGATGAAGGAAAAGTCCTGATCTCTGAGTATTTCGGTTAATCGTGGGAGATTTGTGCCGATTATATGCGTCATTTCCATTCCCTATTCTTATGTCCTGTCCTAGCCAAGAGAAAATATTAGATAAAAAACTGTACGTAGAAACTGATGGACACTAAATTGCGTGACATTGGCATTAACTCTGCTGCGAATTTTAAAAAAAAAATGATCATAATTCCAAAGAAGAAGAGGAAGAGAGGGAATGATAACAATAATATCCTCAAAACTAAAATTTTGTTTTGTTGTAAAAGCAGAAAGTTTCTACAGGAAACAGTCCAGTGCATAACAGCCAAGTATCCTTTTTCAACTCAAATCCCTTGCATACCTCCTGAGTCCTGCCAAAGTCCTTGAAATTACATACATTTTGTCCCAATCGTCCATTCACCCGGGAAATTTTAAAAAGAGGTTTTCAATACTTTAGATTCTACGACTTTTAGTGTACACTCGGTTGTCTGACGCAGGAAAATCGCAATCCTGTTTTTCGTGTATGTGTTTGACTGAATGAAAGAGGCTTGCGTTTATGATTTGAATTGGAGTTACAGAAACCTTCTCGGATCAGATTAGAATCAAGCGAAATAATTGAGAAGCTATAAACCTCGCTCTCAACTCTCAAATAATTCTTGCCAGAATTTTTGGCAAAGAAGGAATGTAAGCGTGCATGTTCTAAATCGTCTCAAGATGACTATTTTGAAACCGCAACTCAACCAAATATTTTTTCGGCCGTTTTCTTAGATTGTTATCCTGAAGAACAGCAAAATCTGCAGCATCCCTCTCAAGAGAAGTGAAAAAGTAGCTGCTTGTGATGAGTTGAATTTGCGACAGAGTCAGTGCCTTAACTTTTATTTTTGAAGAGTTTATTCAATAACAACTTCAGCAATTTTTGAGTTTTCTCGCACTCCAAGGGGCTGTGAAAATCCAAATTTTTGATAGACCAATACGTTCAAGTGCATATCTTTTTGAAAAAATTTCCGAAATTAAAATTTGTTTAGTTGAGTTGAGGTTTAGCATCAAAATATTCGGATATGCTCTTTTGTAAGAACAAGCATATCAGTCCCACCCTCCTATCCTTTTCTAAAACTTTTCCTCTTTTAATCATAATAATTTTGTCTCATTTGTTACTAATGACAATTTCAGTTTAGGGCTCCCCTTTTCTTCAGATGATTTCATATCCCTTTGTTTTGCTTTCTCTCACAGCTGATCTTGAAAACAAAGACGACAGCAGTTCTGCCTCTTCATTTTCTCGTCTTACGAGGACCTTTTGGTGATATGAAGGTGAATGCTGGCATCCACAAGTTTGAGTTCAATGAACAAAACAACGAGAGTCCTTACGTACCTTTACCTCTGCCAGACTCTGCTGAATGCAACCGGCTCTTGGCCTCGAAACGTATCAATTTCCGGTGAGTCATCGCCCACTCTCTTATTCTCAGGCAAAGAAGAAATGAGGGGTTTGAAGGGCAAGGCGCATAAGTGTAGTTTTTGAAAAAATTGAGATATTAATGATTTCAAGTAAAACTAGTCTTAATGCATATTGTGTGAAAAATTTGCTCCCAAATTCCAATTTGTAAGCATCAACAAGTCAGTTTGAACTGTTTTCTGCCATAAAGATCCATGTCATTTCGAAACTTCAAACACGCATTTCTCGAAATAGCAAACACTGCATTTATGGGCTTTGTCTTCCGAGCCCCTCAAATAAGAGTCTGCATTAAATCGTGAATGTGCTTGACCACCAGCTCTTCCTTTGCCTTTTTTTCAGCCGATCAAACACCCAAGGACCACTTTTTCATCTCTTATGGGAAATAACATGGAAAATTGAAACCATATATTTTTTTCGAATGCGGTCAGTTTTTTTTTGCAAAAATATTTTGACGACTTCTTTTTTGAGGATTTAGCATATCTGTTGAAGTATAATACATTCTACTTAAAAAAACCAAAGTACCTGATTTTTGAAATTTCAGTTTTCTTCCTCTCAGGTTAATGTTTTTGATTAGAGAGCTGACTGGACAATCTGACAGTTTAAATGTTCCAGGGGCTGGGTAGATATCCACATCATAATATTTAGTACTGTATGAGGGAAAGGGATATAATAGCGTAATGCAACACCATTCTCTTCTTGATTTCTAACCATAGGTCATTTTTAATAAAGGTACCAAGATAAATGATTGTGCTAGGCCCATTGATAATAATGAACAAAATTAATCAATTGCTAAAGTAGATCAGTATGGGTCTTTGATTGCAACATTGCAAATCTCTGCTCTTGTTTCATTTTCTGAAGAGGAAACCATTCGACAGTTTTCTTTTAATTTTCCGTGAATTTTTCTTACCGTTTAAAAATTATTCTCTGAAAATTTCCAGAAGATATTTTTTTAGTAATCTTTTAAAAGAATAACATATATTCAGAAATTTAGAAACACTACAAGGGAAGTACGCATTTTCCGACTCCAGCAATCATAATTCAATTCACCATTTCAATACTTACCCATGACTGTAAAATAAAGACTTTAAGAGGCATCAGCAAGGGAGCAGACATTTTTTAACCAGACCAGCACTGCCGTGCTAAGGAAAAACGCCGTATGAACATTCGAGAGTTGCCAAATTTCTCCTCTTAAAACATTAATTTTTGAGGCTAATAATGAATATTTCTACCTAAAATTCTCTGATGATTTTTAGATCACCTTGCAAAGAAAATTCCTTGAAAAATTGGACGGAAAATTTTCACAAGTCTCTCTGAAAATTTGTATTTTCCCGAAAGAAATTTGCAACCCCCCAAGGCTCATATGGCGTTCTTCCTTAGCACAGCAGAGCAGGTTGCTGGAGGTAGTTGGAGGGCTGCAAAAAGAGGTATTGAAACTGGGAAAACGGCCGTGCATCAGTGGAAAATTCTATATCTATTGGAAAATCACTAATGAAGAGAGGATTAGGGAAAATAGGAAGACTAAGAAATAAAGTATCACTTCGAAACTGTGAGTGGAATAAAGACTTTTAAAATGAGGAGGCTGATTCTAGAAAAATGGCCATGGATTTTCTGCATCCGTGAGTTTCTTATCGATGGTGAGGTTGTGAAGCTCAGAACAGTTTTCATGCAAAGAAAGTGCAACAGCTGTGCTGCTTATCATGAACATTGTCTCACTTCATTGTTTTTTTGTTTTGTTTCAGAATCATCATGTTTCTTGCACCAAAGTAAATCTGCAAAGAATCTTTACTCCTTCTTTCCTTAACCAAAAGTTTTTTGAGTTGTCCTTCAGACACTGCACCTGTCATGATATCCTATTACAACAGCCATTTAGTTCTTTCCGCCATGACGTTCGTTCCAAAAGGAGTTTCCTGAAGGAAGAAAAATAATCCAAGACCTTGCCAGCATACAAATCGAAACTCACCATCCTGTCAAAAAATCATCTCCAGTCAGATTTGTTCGTCTTTCATTTTTTGACAGACTCGCAGGCTGTCAGAAAGCAATCAAGGCTATAAGCTATATTTATATACCTCCAATGAACTTGTCTGCTTCATAAAGTATCATCTAAGTTTAATCATCAAAATATTGCTTCTGTGTATTAGTATTCCGTAGTAACCCTACAAGTTTTGTTTAATTAAAAGCTATGAGCTTGTTTCAAAGGAAAAATATTATTTTTCTTCTTTTCTTTCATTAATTCTGTAAGTAACGACTTAAACTTGGATCTTAAAGCTTTTTTTAGTTGTTCCATCACTGAAGTATCCTTTTTCTTGTTCTTTCTTTTAAATTTTATCAGTGTAAAGTGTAAAGTCTATTTACTTGTTGAAATTGGTAATTTTACCCACTCAAAATTGATGAGTTTGTTTTTTTAATGCTTGTTTTTTATTTTATCTATTTATTTATTTTTTCTTTTACTCAACGATTTGCGATGTTTCTGGAGATCAGTTGGACTTTAGTTATCACTGTTTCGACTTAATTATCTCATATTTTATTAAATTTTATTTGACAAAGACAAGAAGAAATTTGACTTATCAGAAATTAATGAATGGATACTAAAATTTTTGAACAACTGACTAAGAATTTTCTAACAGATGCTACATGCAGAAAAAGAACTCTTTCTCGTTTTTGTCTTTCCAAATTTTAGCTCAGAAGAATTTATTTGATGTTTTTGTTTTTATCAGTGATCTCAAGTTATTCTTATATTTTTTTTTGTTCTGGTGCTTTTTTGTGTATTTGCTTCATCGCATCTCCATCAAATGTAAAGGCCCTGAAAGGCTTGAGCACCATCTTAATCAAATCATTTACCTCTGATTTTATCGTTTTTGGGTCAGGTCAGTTTTTTGCACCAAAATTTTGAAGCTAAGGATATTTGTTTCCTTTATTAAAGCCATATCTACAGCTCACCAGAGCAATTATGTACGCTCACTGTATTTTTCAGTAATTATTAATTGTATCGATCCAAAACTTTGTTGCTGTCCTTGTATTGGACTAAAAATCTCTTTGCATATTTTTGTCCCTTGCATTCAAACCTAGTTGCATGCTTGTGAATAATATTATATCCTGTGCAGGGAAATATTTCACCATGAGCAATAATTAGACTACATTTCTGAACATCATCGGCATTTTGTCGCGGTCAAGGTAGCAAAAATATTTTTAAAAGAGTGGTAATAATATTCTAATTTCAGTCCGACTGTGTAAAATTAAGTTTCATAAAAACTGCCCAGTTCAGATTAATGTGCCAAGGATGAAGGATGTAATTCACAAGAAATCCTTGGAAAGTTAACTTACGTTGAGGATGAGAGACCTACCCAAAAACATAATTTATGCCTATTACTTACTTCAAGGGAAGACAAAACATTTCGTCTTGATCCTCTTTCCAACATAATCTTCTTTTAATCCAATATCGAAGACCGCAAATTTATTTAATTTCAACTTTAAATTATTTAAAAAAAAGTATATTTATTCGTAACTGATTTTAGATGTTTATATAGTTTATGTATCATTATTTATTATTTACTGTCATAAGTGTAGTAATAAGTTGTATTAGAAATTGGTTCACAAGAATCAAGCAGAGCCATATTATCCGTAGGTTCGTTCAAATCTGCCAGGCTATGCCCCTCTAGCTCCATTGAATTAAGCACTAATTCCTACTCAAGTCTTCTCCTGCAGCAGACCATTTGCTTTTTTCAATACAATCAGTTATCATCATTTGTTCTTTCAAACTTGCAACTTTTATTTTGTGTTCTGTTTGTCTCAATAAATATTTTAAGCTTTTTTTTCATTCTGTGTTATTTGTATCCATCCTCCAATTTTCTTTCAATTCCCTCTCCGTCAAAGGCTCAGTTTTCATTGGCAGTTAAATGTCATCACAACAAATGGATTGCATTTTGCAAAAAGGAACCAAGAGCATTCCAATGTTGCAAAAATTGTGCAACTTTTTTACCTTGCAAATATGTACTGTAATCATCTGGACAAGTTTCTTCTTTAATCCGAATAAACTATGTATTCAAGACAAAAATTACCTTTGTAAATTTAATTTTTTGCAAAATTTCAGTAATTGTATTGCAAAGGATGCAAGTTGTGCAACCCTAGCAACATTTGAATGCTCTTGGTTCCTTTTTGCAAAATGCAATCCAAATAAATCCTACCTCCTTAAAACTAATGGTTGTAATAACCATTGGACACGATAGCAAGTCTTGAGAGCCTTTATTCTTGCTCATTTATTTATCGATTTTATTTTAAAGCTTTCTTAGAATGTAGGAAATAAAGTTCACAAAAACATTTGTATCATTTTTTCAAGTCAATTACTGGCAATTTCAATGTGGGAAACTTCAGTGCACATCTTAATGCTGCCTGAAGAATCACTGAACTCTCGGTCTTAAATAAAAACATGTTAACCATAGATTCATTTTAACATTTCAATGCCAAAATTAGCAATCTTCTAGTTCTTACTTACAGGCCGATATTTTCTTTTATCATTGCTGCTGTCCTTCATTTTGGTGAATTCATAATTAGATACATCTACTTTAAAGGAAGTAAGATCAATTGTAGAAACATCAACAGGAAAAATATTGTTTTTTATTTACTTCAAATCTTACAGCTAGAAAATCACATGCTCGGTTAAATAATTTTCAATTTACATGGCATTATAATATACTTCAATGATACATAATTACAAAATTTTAATAGGAGGTGATAAAAATGTATACAAACAAGACAAAATTTTTAACAAATGGACAGTATTTGAACTGTAACACACATGGGAAGACGTATAACCTTTAAAAACTCAGTACGGGGTAGGTTTACGTTTTCGTTCCTTTTTCATTGGTTTTACAGTCGATTTTAAATCTTCCGTCACACTTGGTTTCCACACACTTAAAATACTTGCCTCACCTGCTGTGAAGAGAACTCCTGTATCGGGGTTGTGCCAACTGCATCGAACAATCTGCTTATTACCAACAAAATTAGCCATTGGTTTGATTTTTGAATCATGTGATAGCTTGAGTGACTGTAGATTATCTCCATTTCCTAGAGTGCACCCACCTAATAACATTAAATCTTGCGTAAAACTGAACTGGTGCACATCTACGAGATAGCAGTCGTCACTAGAATTTGACATACCCTTGCCGATAGTGTCTCTGTCAATGGCCAGATACGGAGAGGCACCTTCTAAGGACCACAGTTGCAAGTCTACTGTTGATGTAATGCACGAAATGTCTAGTTCCTCTCCTTCCCTACTTTTGATCCAAGACAGTTTCTCTACACATGATTGAGTGTTCAAGCAATTTTGCAGTGCAGCTGATTCATTGGTTTCATTGATATCAAAAACGTTTATTAGACCGTCGGAAGACCCACTGACCAAAACATTGGTTTGAGATGGATGAAAACATATTTGAGTCACATCATCGGTGTGCGATTCCCAGTAACCTCCTAGCAAATTTGTTGTTCGGATATCCCAGAAGAGAAGGAACGCATCACCGTCAACCAACTCGGTACCGGCACAGAGAACGCGATTATCACAATTAATGTCAAAACTGGTGATTGGCTTCAACTTGTCGTCACCTCTGGTGTCATCTTGGAACGTTTTAACGCACTTGCTACTTCGTCTCAGATCCCACAGTTTGATGGTTCCGTCCAGAGAGCCGGAGAAAACTAAATTGGTATTCTGCGAAGATATGCGAACATTTGAAACTGCCTTATCGTGGTCATTTAAACTGGTTAGTTGAGCAATTTGTTCACCTACTTGATACACTATGCAAGAATGATTTGAGGTCGATAATGCCACTTTAGCCTCTGAGTTCTCTCGGGCAACACTCATGTGAAGAATATAATTTTGTTTTAGAGAGGCAGCCTCTTCATTTTTTAAAGCGTATGACTCCGGGAAGGTAGTGAGGGAAGCTGTTTCACATACTGAATCGTTTTCACTTTCCGTGCCACTGAGTCCAGCTGAAACAATTACAAAAACCATGTAAATTACACACTGCTGAATATAAATTAGTGTGAGTGATATTACAATAAGCCCTCCCTACTTGTGTGACAAAGCATTGTTGCACAGGCAACTTACTACAAAGAGTATTTAAGTAACCAAGAAAAATTTACTAATCCATTGTTGTGTACCTTAGTAATCAGTCAAAAACCAGATGATTGTTTCAATGGATTTCTATGCGTCAATTTCACCAAGCGCACAAAAGAACTACAGAAGAATGTTGTAAACTATCAGTGCTAGGTCGCAAGCGTTTCATTAGTAATTTCACAATAAAATTACAAGAAGCTATAGATTATCCGAACTAAAGGTGGCCGTTTCGGATAGTTCCAGAAATCAGGGAAAAAAAGAGTAAAAAATTGTACAAGTGAAGAGACAAAATTATTTTTTCTTCCATACTTGAAACACATGCACAACCGACATCGGTTGAAAAAAAAAATTGCGAATGTTAAAGATCTGCAATTTTCTCATGCTGAGTTACTCTTTCCAGATTAATTTTATTATTTGATGCTAAACCTTCTAAGCAATAAGTTTTCATGATACTGAGTTTCGATGATTAGAGTAGAAGAAGTAACCAGTTAATGGCAAGGCAGAGAAAGAGTGAAAATGCTTGCTAGTCTGAAATTACAGAGGGCGGCAGGGCTAATTTTATAAAAGAACTAAAAGCGTGAAATCCCAACAGAAATTAATCAGAGAAATTAAGAGCTCACTATTTTGGAGATGTATCTGCGTCAGTTTCGAGTTCAGACTGTCGATTTGTAGCATTTTTGTATTGAAATTAGAACGCTTACGGATACAGGGTTTCCATGTGTGGAACGACAGAAACTTCTGTAATGAACGAAAGTTCATTTTAGACGATATAACGCATTTAGTGAGTCTTACAATCGAGTGAGAGGTACAATAAGCAATTAAATGAAAGGATACTGTGCTGAGCAGATAAAAATTCTTGTCCTCTGAACGTATTTTTTCCAAGGCTGCTCAGTCAAAGAACTGGAGTGCTACACGCCAGCATTCCGGATTAAGAGTGAATTTAGATAATTTTGGTAATAGCATATTTGATATAATAATGACATGTCAAATGGACGGAGTTAAACAGAAAGGAACCAAGCCACATCGGGATCGAACCGAGAAAAAGAGGTTTAAAGTTTAGCTCCTGCATAAGACTCAATGTGAAAGATAAACTTCAAGTTCAATTTCTGCAAAATTTGCTCCAACAAAAACTTTGAATTTTTGGCGATAGAGAGTAGAGCAGTGGTTGAGTTCAAAACCACTCATAACTCAATTTTTTCCATCATGTGGGTTGGTTCCTTTCTGCTTAACTCAGTCCAAATGTCATCAATAAACCACAGCATTCAGGTGTATAAAACCCTTGAACTAGCCAAGTATACCAGATGTGATATTTTGCTGGTCATTGAAATAAACCTGAGTATTTCAAGGAAGAAAAGAGCATGGTATGAATTTATTATTGTAAAATTTCACTCAATGTTTTAGTCAATCATAAACACAGGAAGTCTAGACTCCAAAATGTCTGCTGATTGAGTCAGCGCCAGTTAAGTTAACACACTTCTAGACTGCAACATAAGACCTTTTGATGTAACTTTCATGCGTAAAGTAAGTGAAAGAATCAAGATGGCGGATCTTCTGTCGCAGTCTATGAGTGCTCTAACTTATTTGGCATGAACTCTGGCATTCTGAAATTCTACATGTATTCCAATAGTGGTGCCTGTCTGCAGATGCTTTCATACCCAAGGAAAGCATTTCAGAGTAAAGTAAAGCTATTTTGTCATAACTCAAATCGGACTTGAAAATTGGGTCTTCCATGATAAGTACACGCTTGGCCTCCAGTACAAGGAAAATTCCGGAAAAGACACTGAAGTTTCCTTTTCCGAATCCCATTAGTGAATTTCGTAAAGAACTGAGGATGAAACAAAAGATGATACTCACAAGTATGTGAAATTGAGTCTTTTTCTGCTTTAACAATCATTATTGAAACTTGGGAACAAACAGATGAAGAATTATAAAAGGTTCAGTAGAAAAAAAGTTAAAATTGGCTGTGGGGAAAAAAGGTCCATGGAAAACACAAATTTTATGGCACGTGCACTGACTAACTGAATCTCACTTATCTTTATGAGAACTTGATTCGCTGGAATGCGGGAAAGATAACAGAAAAATGTGAAAAACGATTCGAAATCCAAGGATTTACACAAAACTATTCCGACACGTGAGAATTCTAGGTAACCTAAAAAATATGGTGCTGCATGGGGCAACAATCAACAAGCAACAATATCAATGAACATTGCCAATTTAATAAGTTTACGAAATTAATTTTTGTTAAAATAAAAATCGAAACTTTATTAGCATTTTGCAGTCGGATTAATATAAAAATTATTTTAAAAATGAAATTGATACTTTAATTAACACTAATACGGTTTTGATGAAAGAAATTATTAAAAAAGATGAATGTACATAATATCTTTTGTGCAACTGCACAATTTGGCAATGAACAGATGTCCAAATTTTTCCCGCGCTCTTATTGTTTACATTCTTTGTTGATAAAGTGACAGTCCACTGATAACTGATAAGAGTAAGAGTTTAAAGAAAAGTGCCAGAACAGATTTTTGTGCTTTTTATTAAACTATTACGGTTTGTAATATTATGTAGTCTATTAACTTTTTCTGAAGATTGCAAATTTCTTGTGGTTCCAACCACTCAGTTTCAGAAAAATTCTCTGCCAGTTGTTGTAGTTGCCACCATCCTGGGAGAAGATGAAACTTTGTAGATCACATTATTTCGACCTAGAAGATATACTTGCAAGCCATGAAACGATGCCGGCAACTTTTACAGAAGAAGTGAAAGGCTTAGGTAACTAAATTTTTCAAATGTGTATGCCCGTTCCAGGTGAACCTACTTACTCTTAAATGTTGAGGCACTCATATTCTTTTGATGGTAAATGTCTGAAAACGTGTACCTATTTTGATTTGCAGATTTTTCGCCACATTTCATGTTTTCAAAGGAAAATCCGATGACACCTCTTCCTTGGCATTGCTGCTGATTTTTCCTTGTCTTGTGCCAAACAATTTTCGTATTTCTCGAATAATTGTGTCCATTGGTTTTTTTTTAAAAAAAATTGCTTGGCTGCGGAGAGTTTCTAACGAAGAATGTGTTTTGTAACTTTTATTAAGGTTATATCAAAAGAATAGTCCGAGTCCTCAAGTATGTTTGCTCAGAGTCAAAGTGTTTTAATCTAATATTGAATCTATCTGATATGTGTGCATGCTACCCGAATCTTGCTTTGTAGATCCATGATTAAAAAGGCCAGAACCAAAGGTGCTGATCACCTTCATTTTTTTTTATTTTCGCTCTTATAGTTTCCTCTCTGTAAAATTTAAGTCTCATCAAGCTGCTTTCATGCACCTGACATTGCAATTATGCAAGAATGGTTTTGATATCAGTTATTCCCTTTTTCAGGTTTCTTAGATCCTGGAGCTGTTACAGATAATATTACGCCCAAAACAAAATTAGAGCTGCCATTCTGGATCCTACAAGTATTGCTCCAGTTGCCAAACAAACCAGTAACTGTAGAATTGCCGAAGGCTTTCAACGCTACACACAGGTAAAGAACATTTGGACCACGTTAAACAGAAAGAAACCAAGCCACATCAGTTATTGCCAAATTTAAGTGGGCAATTTAATTTTTTACATGAAAACGGTTGTGCGGATTTTCGTGCAAATTTCAGTGAAAATTCTCCATGGTACGAAGCAAATTCCTTAAACTTTTCAAAGAAATCCGAACTAACGTTCTCTCGTAAAAAATTTAATTGCCCAGTTAAACTTGGCAATAGCTGATGTGGCTTGGTTCCTTTCTGTTAAACTCAGTCCATTTATGACAGTTGCTTTCTTTGAGCAACCGATATGCAGCCTGATCAAGAAAATAGAAACATAACATAAGTAAAAAAAATTTTTCTATGTTTCTTATTACAGCTTTAATGTCCTAGTTTTCAAGAGTACTCGGGTGTCTCTTTGTTAATTAATTGAGAACTGTAATGCATACTGCCACAAAAATCTGTAATCCTTGAAGCTTCTTGCCATCAGTGCAATTAATTAAAGAGAAGCCTCATTTTATCAACTTTTAAGATTAATTCTTTGAAGATGTCATAAGAAATTTCAAGATGAAGTTTTTCTTTCGTTTGCCTAAAATTGCCAAAGAATAATGTTTGAGGGATAAATTTACCTAACTTTTTTGCCTGCATGTCCTATATCCACACAACATAGTTACAATCCTATGTAGAATTTTTTTCTCAAAGTTTACTGAATTTTTCAGGGACATTTTCTCGGCTGACGCGTGTATTGTTGACTTCAATAAACTCTGTAAATTTTTCTATACCTTCGGGAAAATCCTCGCCCGAGCCAAACTGAAGGAATCTCCGGAAATCAAGAAAATGCTGGTCGAGGTAATTTCTTAACTCTTCTTCTTCTTTATTGAGAAACTTTTCATCTAGAAAAACAATGTACTTTCTTTTGGAAAATACACTAAAAACCTAGTTCTGCACTGGCACCAGCAGTCTGATTGTTGAAATTTATGTCGGCCTGACAAGAATCGAAAATCGATATATTACACGGCGCAGATAGGGCTATGTCTTGTCTTATCATGCCGACATAGCCAGTTAAAGTTTCAACAACCCGGCTGCAGGGCTGGCAACTTGGAATTAATCATTTTAAGACAATGATCATGTAGTACAAATTGACAAAAAAATTTCACAGATTTTTTGGTATTCAGCAAAATCAGGAAAATTATTTTCAGATTTTGAAAGCACTGACAGCAAAGATTAATTTGGGAAAAAATCTTGTGTTTTCAGTCTCAAAAATGCAAGAAGTCAATTTCAGGAAAAATGCGTTTATTGCTGTTAATATTGAAAGGAATTTAGTTAAGAAAAAAATCAATTTGATTCTCTGAATCCGACTTTATCTATAAAATTGCTGTCCTTGATCAAAGCCCAAAATCTGACAGAAAACTGAGTCAAAGAATTCTTGAGAAGGTTGTTCTAAAAGAAAATTTTGTATGAAATAGATTCAAAATTGAAGTGATAAAAATTGAAAATTGTTCGTAACGAACCGTTACCATTCATAGGTAAAACTTAAATTTATATTGTCCACTAAAATATACTTTACAACATTTTTTCAGACCTTCAAGCAGCGGTTTAGATACGTCTTCGATTTGAGTCAAAATGTAGAAACTGAGAAATTAGCTTCCGATAAGATGGACCGAATGGAGAGGGAGCTATACAATGAAAGCAGGACTGCACAGGTTCGACTAAACCAATGGATGTCGGTTGGGATCGGTACTATTCAGGCAGCTTCGATGATCGTTAATCATCGGAAGAGAAAACTAACTGTCTTTGAGCTCTAATGTTCTGCTCAAATTTAATTTTAAAACTTATCATCATCACCAATAGCGGGCTATGTAGCAAAAAGTTGTTTTCAAATTTTTCACCTTTTTGTTCCTGGAAACTGCCATGGAACATACACTGTCTAACACACACTAACACATTCTACCTATTCTACTGACCTAACACTGCCTTTCAGACGTTATATTGTTGTCGCTCTCACAAAAGAATGTATCTCATCTGCGCTGTTCCAGTTAAGGGAAAATTTTATTTTTTCATGGGAGAGTCATTACATGGAAACACCTCATCTTTATAGAGCAGGAAGTCTTAACAGGACTCAAGGTTTTCTTAGTGTGCCCTAGCAAGTGTATAGGAAGATCACTAAAAGTTTCATGCGAATTCATGTGAAGATTGTCTTATAAAAAAAATTAATTGTCAGCAAGGAATACTAAAACAGCACAAAAAATATACATTCCTTTGTGAAAGAGGTGACGATACGCACTCTTCTATTGTTGGTGGGCCACTAGGGAGCGTTGTCTCGGTGCTTTTTCGATTTTTTGGTACTTAGCCCGTCATTGATGATTTAACTTCATTTAAAGATAGTCTCTTGATTTGAAAACAGCATTTTTGCCTTTTGAAAAGTGTGTTAAATACTAAAGTAATTTCAATCTTGTTGTTCAATGAAAAACAGTCAATAGAATTTTCTTAAACCTGAGATATTTTTTTTTTCTTTTGCCTCAAGCAATTGTATTTACCAAAGTATTCATAACTGTAAATAAATACATTTTGAATTTTACTTTTGGGATATTTCTTTTATAAATTGATCTTTTTCAATAGTACCATTAATGTAACTGTGTTACGTTGGGCGGTGCAGACTTCAGCAACGGGTTTGTTACGAAAGAGTATGATGTAGAAAAATTCCTTTTTCAGCATTACGTATTTCATTAACAGCTCCGTAGTCGTGGATCTTTTGATCAATGAGAACATTCATACAGGCAGCCATTTATGGAAAGCTCTGAAAAATTTTAATTTGAGCAACTACCAATCACACTTGCTGTTGTTCTCAATCGTCGATTCAAATGATGTGAGAAACAGTGACAAATGTGTATAATAGGACTGAAGCAAAAACGCAAGGAAATTTTGCAAGGATATCTTTTTTATTTGCATTTAAAGAAAAAATGAACATGAATTTCCAAAAGAAAAAAAAAATAGTACAAATTGACTAAAAACAAATTCGAGTGATCCTCACATCGGAAGAAATTTTAAAAAACCTAGGTTTAAAATTAAAAATAAATATTAAAAAAAAATCCTTAAACTAGCTATACACAATGAGCAGAAACAAAAATCAGTGATTCACATTTAAATATACGTTTTAAAAAATAAGATTTCATGATCATTAAAATAACTCTCGTTCATTTTTTCAAGCATTTGGAGAAGAGGACCGACAAAAAATCGATATCAATCGTTTCCAAAATTTACCATTTTGGTGAATTCTGTTGGGAGAAAATGCAATTAAAAGGTGCAAAATTAATGGAGCATGCACCAAAAACTCTGAAAGTTTGTGAACCAAAAATTCTCAGTTGCCAAGAAACTCGAAAACTCGAAGCACATGTTACTTACGAATACATTTTGTTTACTTATGTTTACTTTACTTACTTTGTTTACTTATGTTCCACTGTTCATATTTTATGATAAAAAAAATTACTCAAGAGTTAAAATTGATTTTTTGTTGATTATTTTAAATTCAAAAGATTTACGGAAAAGAAAGAGTGGTTACCAAGAATCTACCAGAATATGAAAAATTCATTGGATATTACTTCTGATGACTTGGAAAGTTTTAAGTATCACACATCAAAAGTTTAGACAAAACAATGCCCTGACAGATCCAAATGTTCAGTTTTCACAGATCATGATACACTGTAAGTATAATTTCTTCAAAAGTGCTAAAAATAGTTTCTTCCTCCCTTAATTTGTTTTGAGTGGTCACTGAGAAGTTTCTGTATCAAACTGGATCGAACATAGTGCAATTTTCCTGCTGTGAAATTACTTCCTACAGGCAGATTTGTCAATCTTTAAAAGCTGGCTAATAAACCTACTAGCTTAGTTGGACGTTTGCTGCAGTTAGATATTGTTGCAAATGTTGCATCTCTACTTCTGAGAGACCACTAGATAGAACTGATGGAATTTTCCCTGGAGCTGTGGCGCAAAGCTGTGATAATGACTGAGCTAGATGGCACCTTGCATCACCAATACCCTGAAGAGGGTCATAGGTTGTTTTGCTGGCGAAGGATAGCTGAGAGTACGCAACTTCATAACCTTGCAAATCTTCCATGTCTGCAAAGTTATCTTCTGGTTGCGTTGTGTCGTCTTGGGGAAGTTCGAAAATACTTATAATAGATTTCAATAGTGGACACCAGAATTGTGCATACGGTTGTTCTAACATAGCTGGGGCTTCGCAAAGTAACTTCGTGATACCTACTGCAGCAATCTTCCTTTCTACGGGGCCTGAAACCTTTTGAACATCCGTTAAAACAACCTTCTCTAAAACCATTCCGAACATTTGAGGTTGGATTCCATCGATCATTTGAATCAGACTATTGGCACCGTAGTTTATCGCATAGAAGCAGAAAAATGTGATCAATCCTTTGACATATTTTGTTGTTTTCGAGGAGGATAATCGCTGGAACAAGAGAATGAAGACCTGCTTCATGAAGGGGTTTAACAGCTCGTTGGGACAAAATTCGATTAAACTCTGCATCAGAAGAAATCCTTCATGATCGTTTGCTTTTGACGCGATCAATTTCTGGAAAACGCCCAAGAGTCCTTGGATCTTCAACATGGATTCCATTTGGGTAGGCTCACATTTCATGATAAAAGCCCTAAGTAACCTGACCAGTGGATGGATGTTTCCGGTTCTCTCCCATAGAATCGGTGATAATAAAAATGGATACAACTCTACGTACATTTCTGAGATCTGACCCCTTTCGTGAAGTTCTAGAAGAAGTGATAAAATTTGAAAAACATACGGCATGAATTCTTGTACATCTTGGACTAACATTTCATGGAAAATTGGGAACAAAGCTGCCTCAAACATTTGGACAGCTCCAGGGTTTTGCTTGCAGACTATTCTTATCGATAAAACTAGAGTCTCAAATAGGTAATGATTGAAATGCGGTTTACTAGGATTTTTGGCCACGGCTTTTAATTTATGAGTGAGTTTTGGAACAAGGTCTGCTAGGTACGGAATGGCCGCTTCTTGGAGGGCTGATAAACTTCTCATGATGCCTTTCATGACATACTCGTTTTCTTCGGAGCCTTGTTTATCCAGGACTGACATTAGGCCACTGATCAAGTCGTTAGCGATCGGAGCAAGGGTTTCACTGCTTATTCTGCAAGAGATGAAATAAAAAAATCAGAGACAGAAAAAAAGGGGCATGTTCAAAAAACGATTAAACTTTTAAAATAGTGTAATAAAAGAGTGTTCATTAATCAATGTTAATGATTGAAGCATATTGATGACCAAGGGGAAAAACCGCATATCACCATTTGCAACCTTACAGACATACTTTACTTTGTTTTTGAAAAACTCGTCAAAATAACTTCCTCAAAACTATCCTGATTTTTCTCCTCCATTAGCAGAGTATTCTGTATAAATTTCATGTTGACAAGTTGGCTTGTTACTCTTCAAAAAAGTATAATAAAGGTGGAAACTTGCAACAGTGCAATGAAGATACATTGTTCTGCACTGCGGCTATCGATATATATATAAAAAAAAATCATCCTTTAAAGCTTCTAACAAATCCAAAATTACTGTTTCCGATTTTTTTATCTGTTTTGAGAGAGTGATATTGATGAGTTCCTGGGAATATCACTTGTAACTTCATTCTACGATTGAGAGGAGCAATTGAGCATAAAAAGTCCTCCTCAATGTCTAATTTCCTCTCCGGTTTTAATTTTTTAACAGAGAACCAATCTACTTAACACCTTCAATTACCCTCTGAATTCACCCTGGATAATGAAGAGTGTACTCATTAACTTTCAAGTTTCAACGTTGCTTGGTTTTCTCTTTAAAAATTAAAATATCGGAGAAAAGTAAATAATGACTCATGTAGTTAGGCTGACTTCGATTGAATCCCTCCAAATATGTACCTTCTGAATATAAAATCCAATCTTACACTTCATGCAGATGGATTAAAATTTGGATAATTTTGAGATATCAAGGGTGAACTTATTAAACCAATATCACTGACAATGAGGTATTCAGTCGATTTCCGGACACCTCTTCATTGCAGCTATCAAAAAAATCCATATCATTTCTAAAAAAAAATTTAGTCAAAGCCATAGGGTAATTGATTGAAAAATACTTACATGGGAGCGCCTCCGTTAGGGGCTTTCATGAGAAGAATTTTTTCGATAGTGCAAGCAGCATATGTATGAACTACTATGCTATCTGATTTTAAATACTTGATTAGTTGAGGCATTGTACTGATGACTACATCTGTGCGCAGGACCGATCGGAAAATCATGATATACTTGATGACATCAGCTTTCAAAACAGGTGAGGGGCCATTAACTGTAAACATTACGAAAATCAATAGAATGAGAGCTATAGACTACACAAGAAGCTATTAAACTTATTAAACAACTGTGAAAACTCAATTTTTTGAAAAACTGTAAGCTGCATTTCAGTCAACAGTCTGATAATGCTGACATAAAAGAGTGAAAAGATGGCTGACAGTCTGAAATGCGGACCGATGAGATGGACCGACAGTTAGAAATACATCTGGCTTTAGAGAATTTTACAAAAAAATAAATTTGTTTAAGTTTTTGAATAAATTCACAAGAATAAATAAGATTCTCTACTGATATAGGTTTAAAAAGAAAGGAACACTTGAAAAGGCCTCTAAGAAACTTTATTCTGACATAGGAAAAATGTATTGGCTATCCTTCAAAATTTAGTAGAATATTACTTTTTAAAAATTTCAGGCCTTCATAACTGCCTTCTATTTAAAGCAGGAGAGTCATATTAGAGCTTGGTCACCCAATCTCATTAATAAATCTGCAGGTTTTTTAATTTCTTTTTCAGAAAAAAAGAACAAAAAAAACTACCGATCGCATCTCTCTTGTTGTCAAAAATTTCGAGCTTCACTTTACATTTTAACCAAGTTGTCCAATATCAAGCACCAACGACACTTGAAAAATTAGGATTCTTTTTTCCAGATATAAAGATTCTCTACAATCCTGATCATCGGTGACTGGTGTGGAAACATCAACGGGGGCTGCGAAGGTGCAAGATTGGCGCACGCATAACATGCATTCATTATGCAATTGATTTCATTGTATCTGCCTTTATTATTTCTTTGCTCAAAAGGAAGGAACGCCTGGTTGACAGACTTTCCAAAGTATATGATTTTACATAATTTTACACAAAAAATTTAGTTTTGGCTTGTGGGTGTAGAATCATTCTCGTTTATGGTGTTGAGGGATATTTTCTGCAAGTGTGCTCTATTGAGTAAGATTTTTGGCAAGCACATTCTCTCAGTAGAATTTTTGCAAAATATGTTTATTGGGAGGGGCAATTGTTCTGCCAGTACTGAGCAAGAATTAGTAGAGGCTTAGACATTGATTGTTGCTGGCTGTAGTAGGCTGAGAAAATATTTGCAGACTTGCTTTGGTAAGAGATAATTTCTCCATGTATAAAATCAAGTGCTATGGCTGGTTTAAATAAATAAAATAAATTTGTTGAAAACAACAGCAAAAATTGAACTACAGAAATTTTATTACCATCATCCTTGGCTAATTCTGGTAAAATGTGTTTGCCCGCAAATTCTTCAAGGTTAACCAACTGACTACTTTGAGTGACTCCGTGCTTCTGTGTCTGACCCTTGCTTGCTAATGATGTAACTAAGTACAGGGCAACATCCTTGCTCTTCCAGTTGGCCTGGTTCTGATCATATGCTGCTAACATTGTCTGGAATAAACAATTACAATATTATATCAAAATGCATACTTGCATGGATAAATAGACACAAGTCATTAATATTTTTTACCTATCAATTGTTAGTGTGAAAAAAAGGCCATGGAAGATGACTACTGCTACAGTGTAATTTCCAGGGCAAAAAAAAAAACAAAGGGCTTTGCAAGCATTAAACAAATATGCATTGCATTTGGGATAGGTGCCCAAATAAATTCAACGACAGAATAATTTTGGAGAAATTGACTGTATAACCCGTTTGCTCTACAAAAAATCATGGATCATAAGAAGAATCCTCCAACTAGACTCGCCCCTGCTCTTTCAATTTTTTAATACTGAAATAAAGTTCTGTAACTCTTCCTGACCATCCACATTTGGTCAGATTTCTTTTAGTTCTCCAACTTTTACACTGCTTGTTAAGTACTGAGCTTTTTGCTTTTCTTTTGCAAAAACTTAATAAACAATAATATTTTTATACACACCTGAACGTAGGCTCCAAATATCGACATGATTTTTTCCTCGAAATACTTTGATAAAACTTTGACCAGATCACAGGCTGCTCGTCTTCTCGTATCAACATCCGATCCTTCGATATCTCTTCTGATGTACTCCTCAGCATTATCTTCAAATAATTCCTCATCACTCACTGAAATAACAAACATGATGATTAACGGATGAAACCTATTTGCTTCTTTGATTTAAGCTAATGCAAATGTTCCATCGTAAATACACACAAAGAGTACGTGGATCATTTTTAACTTCGTTTATTTGTGGTTTTAGTCAAAAGTAGGAGAACTATTGCAAATAGGTGCTTCTACAGATGAGTCAGAAAAAGTAATTACTTGTTGTAAAACATAATCTGATGGAAGGTCACTTAAATGTTTAAAATAATTCAGAGTTGAATAATTACAAGCCATTTTATATTCGGCTAAAATTTGACTGAAGGCACTCCAAAACACTAATCAAAACCGTTTATGTGTTTTTTTTCTTGGGATCAGAGGTATAATTTGTTTCCTTTTGACATACCTCGGAACTCCATGTTAGGAATCACAACTTTTTCACAGATGCTGCTCAGAACATTTTCATCTTGAAATAGATGTTGATATTGGGACCGATTTGCTACTGTTGCAAGGAACTGTAAAGCATTGCTGACAAGCTGAAAATGGGAAAAAACAGTGATAATTAAAGCACATGATGAAAAGCGAGGAGAGCACCTAGATTTTACGGCCCTTTTACTCAAAACTTTGTCAAATCATTGATAGGTGTCAAACATCAATGCCTTTAAAAAAAATTCTGTTACAGACAAACTTACGGTTATAATTATTCAGCATTAAGTTTATTTAAACAAAAAAGAAAAAAAGAAAGGATGACAAGGCCTGCATTTGTTTGCCTTAATCTAATCTTAAAATAATCAAAGGAGGATCAGATAATTAAATTTCAACTCCATGAAAATATCGGCGGCTCTTTCTTGAGCTACATGTGTACTTGGAACTTGCTTTCGATAAGTTAATAGTTCAATCCGAGGATCTAATAGCGCAAGCAGTTCAAAATAACCCTTACCGCATAAAATCTTCTGCCTCGCAAACTTTCTAGAGGAGCTAACCTTGGTTTAATAAGTCGGAAAATTGATTTGAAGATTTCTTTGGGAGGAGAAGAACATAAATTATGACCAGATGTGTAAAAAAGGACTTCTGTTGAAAATTTTCTTTAATTCTTTACAGATGCACGAATCAAGAAAATCTGAGAATTTTGGCTAAGTTTGCCCCTGAAAGCTCAAAAATTGAAGAAGGTACGGTTCCTAAAATTCCAAAAAAACATTTTTAGGTTGTAGAAAACCGTGGTTTCAGCTTTTGCAAAAAGTTGAGGAAAATATTCTCCTGAAAGAAAATAAGGTCTCTTTTCAGAGATTCGATCACAAGTAAATATTCCCTTTTTAAAAAGGCTTGACTTTACAGATTTTGAAAACTTACTGTATCATATTTAGGTTGCTGTCCAGTGGTAACTAATAAATTCCAAACTGCTTTCACAAAATCCGGTAGATACGACTGGAACTCTTCATCATACTTCTGCGCGTAAAGTTCAATGTTACTGCAAATCTGCGACTTTAATAATTCCATTACTCCTGGATCACTATCATCCTGTTGTGACATTGGTTTGGATTAGTGAAAGTAAATCGAAACAGTAAGCAATATTATATTTGAAAGAGAGGAAGGATAACGTTTTTGTCTACTAAACAAGTTTTTTTTATAGAGTTTTGGCACACATATCTCCCTCCAAACCACAAAATACTGGAAACTACAGGGATGAAATTTTAAATGCTGTGTGATGTCAATTAAAAAGAAACTACAGACGTTTGCTTGATCTGATGGGCAAGCTGTGATGAAAATAAATAGGTAGTTTGTCAAAATGATAGATGCAACGAGATGAAACAAGTGGACTGCATTTTGCAATGAGTCAGTTAAGTCATTTTTTTTTATTGTGTCATTCGAAAGGAATAAGTGACCGAAGCTTACAATTTTTTTCCTAAATTTTTTTGATGACTGCAAACGGGAGAAAAGTTTATTCGAAAGTGCCAAAAATTAGGGTGGCCTAGAACGGCGTTTGAACTGCGCGCTCGTAGGTTTCGCATGTACACGTCACGATCAAAATGGCGGCGGAATGCGTAGTGAAAGAATACACGGCGGCGGCGCGTTGGCGGTATGTTTTTGTTGGTCAATTGAAGACTATGTAGGTTACTTTGTTTGAGATTCATATCCACTGTTCTTAATTCTCTAAGCTTTTCAATCAGAATGCGATACAGATGTATGTAGGATATGAAACATTCACACAGAACTTACTTAACCTCAAACGAGAAATCATGATATCAACATCGGCAGCGTGGCGGTAGTAAGCAGGTGGGCTTCGGCGCCGCCATCTTCCCGTCTATGACGCATATGGATTCGAAGATTCACAGCAGTCGGTTCAAACACGTTTTCGAGGACCCCTTAAAAGAAAACGATATGTCTCCGCGGAGACAATTTTTCGTGAAATTGTAACATGCGCATTGTTCTTCTCGTACTGAAAACTGTAAGATTCGACTATTTGCAGGCAAATCCCTCCCGAGCTTAACTGACTCATTAGGAACAACAATTATTGCTGGCTCAGTTTAGAAACAACGTATGTACTATTAATTTCCCTATGCACATATGTGTTTTTACAGATTAGTCAGGAATTGTAGTTCTGAATTGAAAAATGAAGTCACATGAGTAACAGTTTGAAGTTATTAACTTACATCAGCATGAAGAAGTGGAATATCAGTGATTAACAAAGCGTGAAAGTGAGGCATCCAGACGGACATGTTGTCTTCAAAAAATTCTGGTAAATCCTGCAGGAAAAAGTGAATGCATTAGTTTACTCTCAAGAAATCTTCTTTCCAGAAAGAATCATTTTAACTACGGCTTGAAAAGCTTGCATAACTCGATTGCTCGTAGGCTTGATTATTTTCAGAGGAGGATTCGTTAAAGTCACCTGGTTAAAGTTATCAAATTTTCAAGCTTAAAATTAAGTTGCTTAGATATATAAAATAAAAAACAATATTCTTCTTGGATTGGCCAGGGCTGGATTTGCGACTTTGCCCCCTTGGGCTGACCACAGTTTGCCACCCCTGAATTCTGAAAGTGATGATTTTTACTGACTAGAAACGGAAAAAAAGGTCATTGATTTCTGCCAAAAACTACTGCCCGGCATCAAAAGTCTGCTGCTCCCTGAAATTTGCCGCCATGAGCTGCGGCCCATGTGGTTCAATCCTAAATCTGACCCTGGGACTGAAAAGATTAAATATAGAGTACTAAAATAAATTTCTCTAAATGCGCTTTCTTAGGTAGGTACTCAAAATGATGAATATTCTCTCTTTTTATAAAGAAGCAACATAAAATGGAAGAATCAGACGCTTAGAATTAAGATGTCTGTAAAAACTATGTAAAAAAGGAATTAAAACTGATAATAAATACTGTGATTTAAGAGAGGAAATGAATAGATAAATATGTACTTAGAAAAACGGAAAACATTATAGTGTTAAGTTACAGATATTGGAAAGTATACTTGCCTGGAAATTCAAAGAATAGAAAATTTTGGAGATCACAAGTAAAGAATTATAAATAATTTCAAGAGCTTCTCTGTTTGTAGCATGTGTTGCTGTCAATTGATTTGTTGCCTGGAAAAAATACACAAATAGTTGGAATTAGAATTAAAAACATTTATGAAAAGTAAAAAATGATGTTAATCTAAAGAAAATTCACAGAAAAGACGAATGATAAAATAAAACCTTGTGACCTAAACCTACCAAAAATACATCTTATTAAGGAATTAGAGGTTTAATTTTTTTCACAAATCTTTTGAAAATCTTGGGTGCATTTTTTCCATGGATACAAATAGTTTATATTCTGAAATAGACTTAAAATCAAAAAGCCTATATTAATACGAGACATTCTCAGTTGTTGGTTGCAAATCACTATAGAGGAATGCATAAAGTATTCAATTAAAAAATTTAATTACAAACACTAAATTTTTTTGCTTCACTCATGAATCTGCCAGTCTATTTTTCTAATAATAAACACACCTTTCAGGCAGAAAAAGCTTGAATAAACATTGAAAATATCGAAATATTTTGACAAGAAGTGTCGTATGATTCAACAATTCGAACATTAAATAAAGGTTGTGGGTTATCTTGAGTTTTTAAAAAGCAAAATTTTGAAAGACTTAACATAGTTCTATCATAGTTCTCTCATAGAAAGAAAATGGCATGTACAAATTGAATTTTTCATATTGAAGACGTAAAAGATATAAGAAAACAGAAAAATACTCACAACAAACAATTCTGTTAATGGCTTTGCAAATTTATCTAAAACAAATTTAATTTCGGTCCAAAGTTCTTGCGACTTGAATTCATGGCGGTAACGTTTGAAAAGAGAGTGAGCTGTGTGCAAAACTCCATTGATGATGTGAAAATCACCTGATAAAAAAAGATAAGACTACAGTTAAAATGCATTCACATTAACCAATCCACATTACGATTTTGTTTTGAAACATACGATTTCACTACATTTGATTGCATACTGAATGATTCTTTTGACTTTGAAATGTTCCAGAAAAATATGCGAATAGACCGATAGAGCCCATTTCAGAGGAGAAGACAAGTGAACAAAATGAATCGAATAGATCATATACAAATGTTGTGTGCTAAATTTTAGCACATCAAATTTTTTCTATCCTCCGAAAAACTGATGAGTTTTTAAAGCCTTCTAAATTAAATGAAACAATTTAATCCTAATGATACAATCAAAAGCTTACCAGAATTGAACTTGTCTATCATCTCTGTTAACAAATTGGGCCACTTGTCAGGAAAGTCGTGGCGACCAATTATAGAGACAGCATCACTCAACTGCTTCTGGATTGGGCCAGGAGAATGTAACATTAAATTTATAATGAGACCTTTGATAGCTTTACGGTCCATTGCATGGATTCTATCACCCCTTCCGTCTTCTTCCTGAAATAAAATAAAAAGAAAATTCTACTTTAGTTTCTGAAAAACAGAGAAGAATGGGACTGTGTAAGTATTGCGTGAGCCACTAAGGAGGAGAGGGCAAAGGCTTGGCTTGCAGGGTCTTACAAGAGGGCAGGAAGGTCTGTCCCGCGCTGAAATAACCATCTCACTTTAAAAAAACATTTTCCAACAAAAATTATTTTTTCCGCAGTTTTTCAGATTATATGCATTATTTTACAGAACAATTTGAAGGGAATCAAGCAAGGCTTGTATAATTCAAAGAGGAGGACAACCGGGGGATGGAGGAGGGGTCAGAGGTTCGCTAAGATGGCTCAAGCAACACTTGAACGGCCCCAGAGCAAGAATATAAATTACAAAAGGATTGTGCGTTAATCAGCAGCATGTGAGAAGTTAAAGGACTTGTGTTTCCTACTGGTTATGAAACAAGCAGTCAGCGCAATATTTGATCTATTTTCGTTAGCATTCCTAGAATTAGTGATTATTGTTTCTTCACTGTAACTGCACAAGCTCAATTTACAATATATATTACAATGGTTAAAGATCGCTACACAGAGCTTTCCTAGTTGTAAGTGAGAGCCAAGATTGAAGAAAGACACTGTGAAAATTCCTCTTCCAGCCAGTAGATGAATAGGAGTTGAGTTAATTTTAAGAGCTTTTAAAAGAGCACAAAATTTTAGCTGTCCAACAAAAAATTTTCAGTGAGACAACCTAAGAAAATTTAAAATGTAGATACTTACCACTTTCCAATTTCTTTTGATGTAATTTTTGAACGCTACTGCTCCAGCTATGCGGATAGTCATGTCTACCGTTTGTTTATCTACGACGTGCAGCATCAATAACGGATAGTTTTGATTCCCTTCTACTGACTCCAAAAACTTTTCAGCTGTGGGAAAATTTCCTCAAGTTAGTTGGCAATCTACTAATTTATTTATGTTTTTTTTTCTTTCAATAAAATAATTAATAATAATACTAGATCTTAATATAATGTGGTCATTTTTTTCTTCCTGATTCATAGATGAAAGACAGGGAAAAACTGACCACAGATGATCGTATGATTGCTAAAATGATCAAAGCATCCGACTTAAGTAGCTCGTCTCTCTTTGTCAAATGAAAACAAATACTGTGAGTAAGAGCAGAAACAAAGGTTTGATTGAGTGTACAAAAAATTAGTCTCTGAAGTACAAATGCAGATCCAAATGTAGGACTCACTACGTTCACTTTCTGACTAAAGATAAATTACTTTTGTGATGAGTCTTTGGAAAACTATATCAATCGCTTTTGAAAGAGCTTTTCAAATAACTAGAATGGAGCACAAGGATTGCCAAGATAATCAAATTTTTCTTAACCTATCACTCGATGGTCATGACTTCTTCAATGATGTAGTCATAGCAATACACAAAAAGGAGAACCATTCACTGACAGAATTAAAGGACATGTAAGTTGACATAGGAAATATTTAAAAAAATTTACCGGGCCTTCGAACATTTATATCGACACTCAGGGTCTGCTGGAGGTAGTTGGACAAGGACATCATATTTTCTTCTGAAATCTCCATGATTATTCTAGTCTGAAAAATAACAGATATTAGAGAAAAGACCCACAACAAACCAAGGCATCAAAATAAAACGGAACATGCATCAGATGAAGATGATCAGTATTTTCATTTTAAATGTATCGAATTCGTCACTTTACCTAGCATATGAGGTACTGTCTTTGATCATGTTAATCTGAGCTGAACGATACACAGAGAACGTGGTTAATCTGCTAACTCGCGCCAGTTTCTTCAAAGACTAGACATACAATTAGCTTATCTTCCTCAGGAGTACAAAATGATCCATAACATTAGTTGCTGGCTGTATTCTGGTGCGTTCACCTCCGAACTAGAATCATAGGAGCTCTAAAACTTCCAGCTGTGGTCCAGAACCAGTGTAGATGTACGACTGATTGGATATTGACATATCTCTTGACAATGTAAGATGTATGCCAAACCACCGATAACTATTCTAAGATATTGAGGGAATTTCATTTCCACCCCCTGGATCAAGAGGATATAAATGTGTTTAGAGCCAGATGCTCATTTCAGAATGGTATGAGCGCCTTAAAGGTGGGATATCAGGGTTTCTTAACGATAAACTAATCGAGATTGCACCACTCAGCCATAGAGATGAGCTTTCGAGATGAGTTAAAGAAGGTCACTGAAGTGAACCTAAGCCGTATAAAATAAGATGATGACTTCAGCAGAGATTTGATGGTGCTGGTTGATTATTCCCTTAAACACAAGGGCAGGCAATTACGATGAATGGAGCAATTTAAAATGAAATTCATGAAAGAAAGGAAAGTGCTGGAAGCTAACCTCAAACTTACGGTGCAGACACAACGAATGTTCTCACGTTGAAAATACGGGTTAAAAATGGAAACCAATAGTACAGTAAAATTTTACAAGATTAAATTTACACTGGAGGAGGAAAAAGTAAGAATTACTGATCAAAATTTATACGATTTAACTGATAATTTCACCGGTTGAGATTTGTAAACACGCGATTGAGATGGTCGTTTTTCAACCCACAACCGCGAAACGTGAGTCTCTGTTGCCGCAATAGGCTGATTTAGGAAAAAAAATTTTCGCCTTTGATTTTTGGTAGCAATATGGATTTAAATATCTCAAAGAATTTTCCAATGATAGGAGATACAAAATCTCGAAGACCATTCATAAAATCTATGATTGTAAAAAAATACGACATTGCCAATATCTCCATTTTTCTACAACCTGGCACTGCTGCTGAGGAGAACAAAAACTTTGAACTGGCGCGAAAATTTAAACTTTTATCTGCGGATAAGGGGGTAGTGGAAAAGAGGGAGGCGTTAATTTTTGTCTTGGACATTCTTGAATTATTCAGCGAGGATGGTAAAACGACACATTAAACTAGATGGAACTCTGCAAAATTAAAAGGTGGAAGGTGAAGGGGCTTAAGCATATTGCAAAGTTTCATTAGACAATTCATTCAGTCAGTTAGTTGCAAATCAATAGTCGGAGGGCTGAAGTGCGAAACCGTATTTTAGTTGCGGTGTTTACAAATTTCCGCTCCTATTTTATTTTTTCTGGGAGCAAAAAGTCATTTTTGTAGCTTAAAATTCATACAGAATATTCTGCTGACAGAGAAGACAAATCAAGCAAGTTTCCGAGATATTACGTTGACTAGTTTTCCAAAGAAAGAATAAATTACACAACAGGAGGTCTGCAAGGCCGCAAACGGAGATACGTGGTTTCCCACTTCGGCCAATGAAACATTTCTCAGAAATTTGTTGAGAATTTTCTTTGCGATCTGCCAAAAAAATTTCTGAGATCTAAACAGATCGATGGCCAACGTCCGAAACCATGTGTCTCCATTGTAGCGTTTCAAAGCTTCCTCCCTTAATTTATTTTATTTTTTTCCAAGAGAAGCAAACCAACTTTACAGTGTGAAATTTATACAGAATATTCTGCTAACGAAGAAAAGAATTCAGGGAAGTTTTTAAGAAATTAAATTGGCTAGTTTCCCAAAGAAAAAATAATATAGGACAACGTTGCAAACAGGGAGACGTGGTTTCGAACTTTGGCCATTGATATCTAAAATGAGTGGGTAAAGAAAATCAGTTGTCTGGTGAATTTGTTAAACTTTGGAATGAAATTAGGCTCCAATCACTCTTAACCCTTGAAGCAATATGACTATCAAATTAAAAAGGTTACAGCTCCTCATGATTTGGTGCGAAGGACACCAAAAATTAGAATAAATTGGACCGTGTTTAACAGAAAGGAACCAAGCCACATCGGCTATTGCCAATTTTAACTGAGTAATTTAATTTTTTACGAGAAAACGTTTGTGCGGATCCCTTTGAAAATGTTAAGGAATTTGCTTCGTACTGTGGAGAAAATTCACTAAAATTTGCACAAAAATCCGCACAACTGTTTTCATGTAAAAAATTAAAATAGCCGATTAAATATGGCAATAGCTGATGTGGCTTGGTTCCTTTCTGTTTAACGCGGTCCAATTGATCTTTTGCTTACATGTAAGAGAGGCCTCATGAGGTAGGGCTTATTCTGATTTTACCTATTCAAGTGATAGACACACAAGTGCAAAACTTGCAGCCACTTGCATTTTGAAGAACTTCGTAGCATTAATAATGATGTTTTTTTGTTCTTCTTTTAAAGATACATAGTGTCCATAAAGAACACATATATGTAATATGTCAGTTTACTGACAATGTTTCAGCCAAGACTTTCGATGAATCTTTCACTGATAACATATGAATTAAAAAACTTGATTTTGTCTTTTTGTGATGATTTCGCAGTAAAAACTAAAACCATAAATTTTGCGCTTACTTTGTACTTATTTGCCTCTGATTCCTTGAGTTTCACTTTCTTTCGAATAATTTACATAACATTGAAAATACGTAAAACAAAAGAAGCGGGGTTTATTATTTAGGAGAGAATGGGCCACTAGACAAGGTCTCAACTAGAAAGAAACGTCATTGGTTTTCTCTTAAAAATCTTATGAAGAGAACAATTTACACAATGAGAAGTTGAGAAATCAACTCCTGAACAGGTTACCAACACTGCCGTGCTAGGAAAGAACGCCGTATGAACATTCGAGAGTTGCCAAATTTCCCTGGATAAAACATGTATTTCTGACAACATTCATGCATATTTTTCCTTCAAATTTTCAGTTATTTTAGATTAAATTGCTTACGAAATTATCTGAAAATTTTGGAAAATAATCTTAGCAATTTGCCCAATAAATTCGGTTTTTACAGAAGGAAACTTGGCAACGTCTGAAAGCTCATACGGCGTTCTTCCTTCGCACGGCAGAACAGACTTCCTGTTGTGTGAATCGTTTTCTTTTTGGAATTTTGAAGAGAAACCAAGTTGCAGAGTGCTTCAATTCATGCCTCGTTAAGAGGCCCATTTTTAAACTCACTTCAAAGATTTCTAGTAGTTTTCACACTCCAAAAAAGCCATTTAAAGGTTGACAAAAATAAAATCAGTCGTTATATATTGCATAAAATAATAAACACTGGTTTATTAATTTCTGTTTTAAAAATACAAATTCTCGAGAGATTAAAAGAAAAAAAATCTGAATAATAACCATAACATAAAGAGTTCATAGAACAAATAAGATAAACATATGAGAGGAAAACAGATAAAATCCAACTTATGACAAGGCAAAACTTATGATAGACAATCGATTTTTGCTTTTCATACCTGCTCAGCAGTGATACATCAAAATCTGGAATAGATCATTTATGGCTAAATATCCAATGATACAGAGGACTGCCTTCGCATGAAACTATTAAATTTTATTTGATAACAGAGAATCAAATGCTAACACTGTGATAGATAATTCTAAAATTGAAGTGAATATATTGAAACACAGGGGAAAATTAAAAGATTTAAATTCGTTTTTCGAATTGAAAAAGAAAAGGCAATTCCTTCGGTGGTGTTTTGCCAAACTTTCGATTACGAAGGGATCCACAGGAAAAACTGCCTATTTCCTTACAGGTTGAGAGAGAAGAAGGGTAGCACCGTTAGTAAAAACATCTGCACTTTAAAATCCATCCTTATAGCTCAGAAAAACAGAGAATACATTTAACACCTAAAGAATTCTGATGATGGATATCAAAAGATCTAGACATATATTCATTGATTATTACAAAATTATCATCACCAAAAGGATGGATAATTTTTGGTGACTTATTTTCCATTCATTCATTGTAACTGATTTTTTCTAGGAGTAAATTTATTATAATCACATTATTAAATTACACAAATAGAATTTTTTTTTGATACAACATTAATTCCTAGGTTACATAAAAATTTGAAGTGACAAAAAAGATTATCAAAAATTAGCTTCAATCGTCAGGGCATGGAAAGAAAAAAAAAGTAAAGTTTCCGCTCAATTTACGAGGAATAACTTCAGATTCAGACGCTACATTTGACCAAATAGAAAAAAAACAAAATTGCTAATTTTTCCTGAGAATTTTCTGGCTTTATAAAATTTGTTGCGTAAAAGGGAGCTTTACAAAATTGAGCTGTTCCAAATTAGGATTATTTCAAGAGTAGAATATCAGAGACACAGTCATGTAGAATATGAAATTAGGCTCTCTTCCGTGCAAGGCTTTGACCAACCTTTTAAATGGTGATTAAAATTATGAAAAAGTTTTCTGCATCTAACCTTAATTACACACGTTTTGGAAGCATCTAATTTCTTACTGCCTATCTATACTAGCATTGGACTGAATACATACAACCTTCAACAAATTAACCCTCCTAATGCACTTGTAAAATTGTAGATTGCTTCAGTTCCCAAATGCAATTCTTGAAGTTGCTTGGTTACGAACATACTCAGATGATATGCTCAAAACAATCATATTTAGCAATAATTTCATCAAAATTACATTCCAAGCATTCAACTTCTCATGCTGATCTGTAGTAAAAAGGAAATACATCTTTTGAAATTATTGCTTACAAAGATATTGCTTCCTTATAATTAAGTGATGTTTTCTGGAAGAACCTTTTGTAACTATCGAGGTAAAGGTCACAAGGTAAATATCAACACTTATCGATTTTTTGTGCCAACAAATTAAAAAGAAACCATTAAAATTTCGTCTTGAAGTTTACAAGATGTAAAAATGAATTTTCCTCATAGACTAACGATGTTAAAAAATTGCAAACCTATTTTTTGCCCAATGCCCTTCTTTTAATACCTTAAACTTTGAATTTCTCAAAAGATTAAATTTTTTTCGAGCTCCTGAAAAGTCTTGATGGCATTTATCTTAAAATTAATTTCTGCGCATAATACGGGCAAAAATGTGAAAAATGTTGAGGATGCATAAAAAGTTTTTCCAGAAAAAGTCGCAATTTATTTCAATTTTTCTGTTGTGAGCATTGAGCAGTTCCCTGATTGAAAAAAAAATCTTGTTGAACTCTATGCTTGCCTCATGCACCATGCCTCACAAAAAAACTAGAGAAGAAAAATAACATAAAAAATTAGAAAGTCCAGATGGCTGAGCTATACACCATAGCTAAAAATACATACTTCAAGAGAAAATGCAGAAAAACCTATAATTAAGTAAAGTCAACACTGATTAAAAAGAAATTAGGAAAATAAATATGTAATCAGTCAGTGACAACCTATTGCCATGAATTACTGAAAAGAGTACTTGTAGAGTGGGGAGGAGCTGGATACAAAATGGGTTTTATGAATATGTAGAATAGATTTAATATATGTTGTGAATCTTAAAGTAATACTATATGTGCTCGTAGAAAAATCGGTAAAAATCCTAACACAAGAGACATTTTTAATGCTAAATTAAAGTGATTTAGAAGGGTTGGGAATTTTACTGATAATTAATTCTATTCTACATGAAGAAGAAGAAAATCATCACTGTCACAGGGCTAAAAGAAAAAAAAAAGTTTAACACAAAAAAGTACAAACGACAAGAGAGACACAGAAACCGAGTGACCACAAGTTAATTGCAAAACGACTTAAAATGAGCAATTTGTCGTCCTTAAAAGATAGGGATTTTCATGGTTAATCTGTTTCAATGTCTCCATAAAATAATTACAAATCTGCTCTAATCCTGAGTAATTCAACTGTTGAGGACGGCACAACTACCGAATTTTCATTGTGGGTAGACTAACTACCCATTGGCTCAGTTTTTATACAAACTCATTTGGTAGAAATGGTGCTTATACTGAAATCGTGGCATAATCTAATGATCTGGGTGCTTCTCAGAGGACAAAAATCAATTTTCAATACAGTTATGTGATTTTCAGTCATGGAAAACATTTCCGAGGTTAAGGTGAAGTCTGAACATTGACTTTTTTGTTTGGTCTGATTGCATTGACAGGACTAGAACAGAGGTTGCTGTGGTGAGTACAATTCAAATAAGTAGGTGAGGTAAAGTCATGAGAATCAAAAATGGCGATATAATGAACCTACGTTAAAAGTACAGCCTCTAAACTATCTTAGTTCCTTCTTTACTAATTAATAATTGTAGGAAAGCCAGCTGCGATTAGGCAGACAAAGTCAAAATTTACCTGAATACTTTATTTCATTTTGAAGCTTTTTGGCAGTTCCCATCATCCAGACATACGCAGAAAAAATGGATGCTGACGTCTTGGTGATGGCAGATGCGAAGAAGCTTGAGCAGATATGAAATATAAGTGTTCAAATGAGTTTTGACTTTGTCAAATTAATTGTGACTGGCTACTCGACAATTCTTGGTTACTTCAAGTGCCACTACCAACCCAAAATTTAGAATGCTAACTTTAAACTTTCTCACTGCTACATTGCCATTGACAGTATTACCAGCTTTACCTCAACTACTAATTTGTACTGTACCAACTATAAATCAATACAGCTCGGATTTAGGACCAAAGGTTAGAGTTATACGGTTGGATGATATTGAAAGCGTTTCATGAAATGTTTTGACAAGAGCTTTAGGGAAGTAATTAGTTTAGCTTTCTCTGCGGTAGATTTTTTCGAGCACTTTGAAGAATAACTCATGATGAAGTCCTCTTGTTGTTGACAACTGTTGGATGTGCGTTGAGATTAAATTGTAGCTGTCTTCTTCGTACCTTGAATAGATTTGAGGCAGACCCAACTGTTGANTGAAATTCTGGTTAAGAAACATGTATCAGATCGCTTAAATTCGTACCTTGTCTAGTGGTCCATTGTAGGAAAGCCAGCTGCGATTAGGCAGACAAATTCAAAACTTACCTGAATACTTTATTTCATTTTGAAGCTTTTTGGCAGTTCCCATCGTCCAGACATACGCAGAAAAAATGGGTGCTGACGTCTTGGTGATGGCAGATGCGAAGAAGCTTGAGCAGATATGAAATATAAGTGTTCAAATGAGTTTTGACTTTGTCAAATTAATTGTAACTGGCTACTCGACAATTCTTGGTTACTTCAAGTGCCACTACCAACCCAAAATTTGGAATGCTAACTTTAAACTTTCTCACTGCTACATTGCCATTGACAGTATTACCAGCTTTACCTCAACTACTAATTTGTACTTTACCAACTATAAATCAATACAGCTCGGATTTAGGACCAAAGGTTAGAGTTATACGGTTGGATGATATTGAAAGCGTTTCATGAAATGTTTTGACAAGAGCTTTAGGGAAGTAATTAGTTTAGCTTTCTCTGCGGTAGATTTTTTCGAGCACTTTGAAGAATAACTCATGATGAAGTCCTCTTGTTGTTGACAACTGTTGGATGTGCGTTGAGATTAAATTGTAGCTGTCTTCTTCGTACCTTGAATAGATTTGAGGCAGACCCAACTGTTGATAAACTTGTTTGACAGCAGCTACCTTCTCTGGGTCGTTGTATCCATAGCATTGCTGTAATAAAATGAAAATAATATTAGAGACTAACTGAAAAGCAGGAAAAAAAGGAATAAATTTAAGAGTCCTCGATCTGAAAAGTATGCTGTAAATACACAGCAAAGCCGCTTTTATCTGAACTTTTCGTATCAGAGAAGTCTCATGTTTGTAACAATCTTTCAGAAAGAGTTCCTCACTAGTTGTCTGCGACGATGTTCTATGGGTGCATACATATCTCACGCAACGCCACTGGGTTTTCGCCACCCCCCCCCCCCCCCCCCNGCAGAAAAAAAAACATGAAACTAAATTTCAAGTGGTGCTTTCTCCTACTGGAGCGGTGGCGGTTGTGAGCCGTAAGCACACAGACAGCTTTGGCATCACAAACAAAATAAGCGACCATATCTTGGTCAAAACAGCTGGCGTGACACTTATGGGACCCTGTTTTTGCCGGTTGATAAGACCAGTGTGGCAGGCAGCATGTTAATGCTGAAAAAAAAGGAAATTGAGATCTTGATACCATTAAAGGAAGGAGTGTTTCAAGGACGTTCCAGTTGCGTTGGCATACAAATTCCCAAAAATGTTTGATCAAACGAGAGCTATGGGACCATGGTGGTTTGAAATTTACGGTTCAAGAGACACTTTTTGAAAAAAACTCTACTTAGTTAACCAATTTGAAAAGTTCAGCACTCAAAATAATTAAAATATAATGCAGTTTTGTGACTTTTACCAGCATTCAGAATAACTGAACTGCTGATTTCATCAAAAACTCTACTTAAGATTTTAAACCCTATTTCAGAAAAATCACTCGCTTAAAAAATGTTAGTATTTGGAAGAAAGTGGTAGAGTTTTTAATATGAAACGATTAAGTTTGGATAATTGCTCACTAGATGGCGCAAGTTCACTTGCCGCCAGCGACCACTTGCCCAAGTCTCGGGCTGGTTTTCACGACCTCTCCGAGCTTAGTAGCAGAGAATTCAGGAAGCTGCCCTGTACTGATGACGGATCGAATTAGATCCGGAATGCATCTGTAGTTGCCTTCCTGAATGGTAGTAACTAGTATTGCACCAAACAGCGTATCTCTTTGAAAGAAAATTGTGCTCATATGAACTGATTCCCTCTGTATTGAGATTTTCAGCTTTATGCTCATTCTTAACACTTGTTGGCTGACTAATTCCAACTTCTTGTCTATGAAAAGAATACTTTACCTCCAGGAGGGCTCTTTGGGATGGTGTTGCTCTTTGCAAGGCGACCACTGCTAGCCAGGAACACTTTCCATCCTCAATGTCAGTTCCTATTTTACCAGTGATTTCAGGCTCACCGTAACAATCTAAAAAGTCATCCTGAGGGGAAGAAAAAATCATTTACAAAATTAAACAAGTATAAGATGGTCTTTTGTCCTAGACAACATGTGCTATAGTACTCAAAGTACTTTTTTCCATTTGAGGGGCTTGGAGGACAAGGCGCAAAAGTGTAGCTTTTGAAAATTGCAGTTTTGAATTGGACATATTTCTATCAAACAGAACTATGTGGAGGTGAGAAATATGGGGTGTGCTCTAGAAATCTGCATAAGAAGCAATGTAAAAGTGGGCGTGATTCCTTTTGAAGAATTGGAAAAGCGGGATATCACATTCTATCAAACAGACCTATGTGCCAACTAAATGTGTTATTCATGAGCCGCAGGCATGGCACGAGAGCGTTGTGAACAGGGCTCATGAGTTAAAGAGTCCCACCAACGAACTCCACGTCGCGCTTCGCCACGTTCGTTGCCGCTGACGTCACTGGCGCTTTATTATTCTCATTCACTCTTACAGCCAGAGAACTAACGAGCACACCCCATATTTCTCACCTCCACGTAGGTCTGTTTGGTAGAAATCTGTCCAATTATTAATGATTTCAAGTAAAACTAGTTTCAATGCGTATTCTGAGAAAAATTCGCTCCCAAATTCCAATGTTTCAGCAACAAAAAGTCAGTTTGAACTTTCTTTCGGCCATGAGGACCCATGTAATTTTGAAACTTCGTACTTCTCGAAATAGTAAAAACTGCACTTATGCACCTTGTCCTCCAAGCCTCTCATTTGAGGACTGATTATTAGTGTTCTACCGATCAAGAGGGGTTATGAAGAAAGAACTAGCAAGAGATAAAGCTGAGATAGAGTGGTCTTCTTAGCTGGTTGGATACAGGAAGGAATGAGCGGGAACGATCTCTTAATACATTTTATTGCCTCGAGAAAGTTTTCTTTCCCAGAAAAATTTGATGGAGAAACACACATACTAATACAGAGTATCTATACATATGCAAATAATTTGACTAATGATTTGAACGGCAATGACGGATGCTCTTGGGTACATCCTGCAGGGTTGCAAAAATTTACAAAATGCAGACCGTTTTTCACAATTCTATGTTTTTGCTTCAAAGGCAAATTTGTGGTTTGTCTCGCTGGAAAATGTCCCATTTTAGGACAAAGTACCTGATTTTATGTCAAAGTGTGTGATTTGCCCCACTCTTACTAGTAATGAGCAAAGAAAGGTCATTATTTCTGGAAATTGCCTGAGGACTCATGATTTGCCTGATTTGTGCCGCAATCCTTTGCACCAGAACAGACATTTTTTAGCACCCTTGCTTCGCCAAAAATTCCCCTGCCCACTCAAAATTTTTAATTTTTTGAGGATAATTCAATCCTACTCAAATCCTGTTATTTCCTTCATTCGGAAAAATGTATTGTTCCCTCGTTGAAATTTTCAGATTATTCCTTCCTTTGTCGGATGTTGACTGAAATTGAATCCTTTTAACCCAAATTTCTACACTTGTTGTGCAAATTTTATCATTAATAGTGCCTAATATCACAAGAAATATGAATGCTTTAAAAGATGTAGCGGAACTAACCTGAACTTGGAAAAAGTGTCCCATCTCTAGTAGAATGATTTTTGCCTGCCTGTGGATTTCTTGATCATTGATCCCAACCTGAAAAAATCAATGACACTTAGATGAATACAATGAAGAGTTGAGAAACTGATTGGAAACAGGTCTTCATAGTTGTCGAACTTAGCTACAGCACAATTAAAACATTGTGGTTTGAAAGTCTCTCCGAATAAAGAATATTTTGATCAACCAAAATTGATGCAAAGTTTACTTTTGAAATGATATACGGTACTGAATTTTAGTTGATATCTTCTAGTGGAGAACTATGCTGGGGATATTATTGAATTTTTTTTTTTTTTTTCCTGATAAGGCCGGATTCAAAGATAGAATTAAATTTTCTAACGATCTAAACAAAGCTGTGCAGCATTGGAAAAAATCTGTCTCGTTCAATACAGGTAATAAAAATACTATTCTTCTAAATTTCTTACGTACCATGTACATGGCAATGGCGATTGGTAGGTGGAAAGAGTAATAGGCAGTCTTGTACTTCACGATAGCATTGTACCGATCCATTGTAAATTTGTCCAGTCTGTTAGTCTCTCTATTAATACTGTTAGAGGTAGAGATGTCCAGTGATTGCCCCATTGTTGTCTTGAACGTAACCTAAAATAAAAATAAAGAAATAATATTATTGAATCCATAAGATTGATGAGCTGGTAGCACATCCATTATGAAGAGATGAGAGAAGCGCCAATTTTAGTGCTATTTAATACTATTTAGTATTAGAGCTGTTTCATAGTGCAAATTATGTGACCAACAGCAACAGCCAAGCGATAAGCTGGCTGCGTTTTGGTGTAAAAGTTTTTTTAATCAGATGATAAACTATTCAAAATAAGGAATATAAACTCCAAGAAATGACCAATGACGCAAAAATAAAGACATCAATGAAATTCCATACACAACACAACATGATGACTAATGAAAGGAGTCCTCATTAATAATAGTGGAGGAAAAAGGGGGAAAACATATTAACGTTATCTCAACCAATTATGACTTGGATTTCCTCAGAAAAGAGCATCTGATATGACGTTGAAAAGACATGAATTTTACGAAGAGGAATTGTTCATTGAAGTTGAAATGCTACTTGTTGATTCTCTTACTGAGGAGCATAAGATACGTAATGCTCTAAGGGGGAGAAAGAGGTCAGAGGTGCCTTACACCATTTTTCTCTCTACTTATTAAAGGATAGTGACCTACATCACAAAAGTATTACAATGGAAAGGGGGGGGGGTGCCGAAAAAGCCGAAATCTAGTGTTAATGAACATTGCATGTAGTGGGTATCGTTGCTGTTGCATTGTTTCACTTACATCATGGAACAGCTCCAAGAGATCTAGGTAGTACGGTTGGTTTTTGCAATGTCTTCGAAGAATCTGATAAATGCCTTGTTCCAGGAGGATTCCATCATTGATCGCTTGAGATGTCCCAACTTCTTCTAGCTGATACCAACATGGACGCCCTCTCCTGGTCTTGGAGTGGTCCATGATGTCATCTTCGACCAATAAGAATGCTTGCAACTAAAAAAGAAAAAGAGAAAGAAAAATGTTACTGAGATCATAGGTATTGGTTCAGCAAAAGCTACAGGGCATGCAATGGGCTTCTAGACAAGGTATGGATTAAAGCACTACACAGCATGTTTTCGCTTCAATATTTCACGAGGAAAACAAATCACACGACAGGAAGTCTGATTATTAACTCCTAGACAAGATATAAGTGTTTACAATTGACATTGCTTAAAAAGCAAAGATACAAATGACATTTTTGGTAGAATCAAACTTTCATTTTAACTATGTTAAAATTACTTGTTGATATCTCGTGTTCGGGTGTTGATTTCCAAACATCCCATTGAGCGAATCGTTTTCTGTGAAGACTTTTAGGGGAGGATGTATGATGTTTCTTTCTAGTTCGAATCTTGTCTGATGACCCATTCTCTCCTAATTATTAAATCCCCTTCTTTGGCATTACTATTTTTCAATTTCATACAAATTATTTGGAGAAAAAATTTGCTCTTTTGCAAAAAGGCAAAGGGTTCTACCAGCAATCTCAGGTGAAGTAAAAAAAAAGAAATTGCATCACATCTTTCCTGATGAGCACCTTTCTTTCAAATACGCGGATGAGCAATAAACGCAAAAAGATTAAACAATGGGGATTCTTGGTTACACAATTTAATACAGTGACTATTTCTTTTTACTCGAAATTGAATTAAAGGAGGCAGAGGAATTTTGCCGACAATTTAATTTCAATAGAAATGGCTATCTCCAGAATGCTTACCTATTTCTTAAAATATATGAGATGTACCCTCTTCTTTTAATCATTTTAAAAGAGCTTACACAAATTAAAGTTTTCTCAAAATTCGTAGATAATAAGTTGGGAACTAAAAATCAAACATATAGAGAGAAGAAGTACAAACCATTTCAACACACCAGCCCAGGATATGAGCCATTCTGATGTCAGCTTCAGTCTGTTTCTCAAGTGGAGTTAATATTTGGTAGGCACTTACGACAGCTAAACCTCGATTTTTTTTGCCTCCCGGGACGTTGTACTGGAGAACCTATTTTGTGAATGATAATTTTAAGTTAGAAAACATGAATTACTTATATGATAAGATGGTCAATAATTAAGGAAAGTAGAACCCACTGGAATAAAAATTTAAAAATAGCGACAAAAAAAACCCAAAAATTGAAAAATTGTTAAATGGAGTATGAAAATTGATGGAACCCTCAATATCATCAATACTCTCATTATATTCAAAGAAAATGGTAGAGACATCTTTCTTTGACGAGGGAAAATGTGTATTCAAAAACAATAAGTTACTTCCTTCCTCATTTTGATAATGAGACCTTGCGTTGCGTTGAGCAGTAACTTTCAACTCCAGCAAGGCTTCTTTCTTGCACTCGCTTTTGTAACAGCGTTATCAACTTTTTCCAAAATTTTCAGCGAGATGAAGAGGTTCAATTTTGAGTTATAAATTGAAAATCCATCCTAAAAATTTGTGCCAAAAAAATTTTTTTTTTAGTTATGCCATATTTTTTTGCACATGTCCAAAAAGCTCTTCATCAGAACTTTGTAAAGGTATCAGAACGGTTCATTTCGGATAAGCTGTTGCAGAGTGACACATCAATGAAATGGCAACATCCATCAAAAGAAGTGAACTTTTCGCGTGAAGTATCTAATGTAAGCCCACCTGGAGGTCGGAAAAATTTGAAATTTTGAATGTTAACTTGACCATGCCAAAATGTCATTTAATTCCGAGGAGGTCACTTTTTCAAAGTAACATTAGTTGGCATGGAATGATCCACCTAATGAGTAACAAATTGGACAGTTTTAAATTGGAGCACAATACTGCCGTGCTAAGGAAAAACGCCGTATGAACCTTCAGGCGTTGCCTAATTTCCTTTCGTAAATCACGAATATTCGGTAAAATTTGTTAGTACTTTTCTTCTAATTTTTCAGATAATTTTGTTCGCAATTTTACCTGCAGTTCCTGAAAATTTCAAGGAAAAATACTCATAACTTCCCTCAAAAATAAACATTTTATCGAAGGAAATTCGGCAACTCTCGAAAATTCATACGGCGTTTTTCCTCAGCACGGCAGAATATTTTAAAACAGGATGTTGAGGGTCCCTCGCCCTCCTCTCTCTAATAACAATCCCTATAATCCAGCGTGCTGATTATAAAAATCAGTAGACAAAGCTACAGACAAAACTATAGACAAAGCTATAGACAAAGAAAGCAAAGGGCAAATAGAGCAATCCTATGGGTAAAACCGGTTGGTTGTGATAGACGTAGGGAGAAAATGATGGTGTAACTATGCGGTCTCTCGTGGGTTGCTGGTAGCTAGTCTATTACTTACCTACTCTATCCATTGCAACAACCCGCATTGATCAACAGGATCGCTAAGTTTTTTATTTGTTTTCTTTGTCTATTGCTTTGTCTATCAATCTCAATAATCAGCCCGCAGAATTCCTCTTCTGACGCAACGAAACTTTTACCTTGGCGAACCATTTTGTGACTTCGGGAATATCCAGATGCCTTCCTGCTTCCGTTAAATCTCGAACCAGATCTGGAAATCTGGCCATAAACTCCCTACTTAGATCCTTGCTCACTGCTGTTTTTACTGCAGCTTTTGGCACGCTAGGGGTCACGGTAGAATGAGACCTTAAACAAAACAAAAAAAAACATAATGAAGAATGGAATGTTTGCATTTGAAAGAGAAAGTGAGAAAGGGGGAATAAAGACTAGTAAAATTTTTTTTTTTTAGGAGGGGACCAAAAAAAATTTCTATGTTGATTCTGCTAAACTCACACGGAAAAAATTAAATTGCTGAACAAAGTAACTGCAATATTTCAACGTAGATTGCACAATAAAAAAATGATACTTTAACCACTATTGTAAGCTAATTTCACCACGGGGGTTGTTAAAGTAGCATTTTTTTGTTGTAAAATCTACAGTACATTACAGTACAGCTACAGTACATCTACAGTAGTTAGTCCATCGCCCCCCCCCCCCCNGTCCAAACAACAACCTGTTTCAACTAACAAGATCGCTCTATATTCGCTTTGTCCTCTTTGTCTATAGCTTTGTCTATCAATTCCGATTATCAGCCGGCAGGGCTACTCTGCTCTAGTGGCGAAATCATCAGACTCAGGTGTAGGGTACGGCCAGTGCAATAATAATGTCCGGGCGAAGTGCGCATTTTCTCGAATGAAATACCAGTCCATGCTAATGAAAGTCCGGAGACTCATGAGTTGACCACTGCCGTGCTAAGGGAAAACGCCGTATGAACCTCCAAGCGTTGCCAAATTTACTTTGATTAAATACACATTTTCGAAAAAACTTATGATTATTTTTTTTCCGGTTTTTCAGATTATTTTGTTCGCAATTTCAGCTGAAGTTCCTGGAGATTTCAAGGAAAAATTTTCATAAATCTTCTTGAATGTACATATTTTATCGGAGGAAATTTGGCAACTCTCGAATGTTCATACGGCGTTTTTCCTTAGCACGGGAGACCAGGCGTATGTGGCAAGAGCACGACGGAAAACCGCAGCTTCATTGATGGCGACGAACGCGAGGAAACATTACCGACTTGTAACCGCTCTGGTTGCACCATTCGCTCGGACCGTAGCTTGAATGTCAATGCCTATGTCTATGTCGATGCCTATGTTTATGTCTATGTCTATGTCAATGCCTATGTATATATGTCTATGTATATGTATATGTCAATGTCTATGTCTATATGTCCATGTCTATGTCAATGCCTATGTCTATGTCTATGTCTATGTCTACGTCCTAACATGGACAGAATCGATCACCAACTCCGAGAATCGATCGAAAATTTCGAGAATAGATCGAATTATGTCGATCGGGTCATTTTTTTCATTTTCGATCGATTCACGTCGATCGAATCGACACCGGTTTTTCACTACTTGGTCGATCGTATGGGTGTCAATCGGTGCACGTTAATCGATTCAGGTTATTACTTTTATCAATCTTGTTTTTTTTATCCATACCCTTCAAATTGAAATTCTGAAATTTTGAGACAAGAAATTTGGGCAATGGGTGTAGATTGCATACGCAGCTCCTGAAAAATTCACGAAATTTAAAAAAAAAACTTCCTTTTGCAACTCCGCGTCTCACTGCTGGAGCCAAAAGGAAATCCTTGGATACTACATAGCGTGTGGCTACATACGGAGAGCCCAACAGTATCTAGGCGTGAATGATCGATTATCGTGTTTCCCCATTTGAAGCTGAAGTAAAGAATCGATTAATAAGGTGTTCTTTGCGAACACCATGTTTATCGATCCTCTCCCCTAGGTTTAAAAGTCAGATCAATCGAATGTAGGGAGGGAGATTTTCTCGAAGGAATCGATTTGATTTTAAAATCGTATAGAGAGAATCGAATTCATAAAAAAGTCGACTTTTTCAGAAATCGATAGGTAAACACTTGACGAATCGAGTTCTGCGCCAAAAAACATAATTAAAACTATACTAAAACTGAACTTAAAATGAGACTCAGGTTTCATAGAACCTAAGCCTTACGGACAAATCAACGTCGGAAGTTTAGATTTTCCCCCAATAATTTCGGCTCGAAAAATCGATTCGATCCAATAGATTTTCCCGCGCAAAAAATCGATTAAAAATCGCCATCCCTACAATCGATACATCGCAAAGTACGCCACACCACTGTACTGCCGTGCTAATGAAGAACGCCATATGAGCCTTCAGACGTTGCCAAGCTTCCTTCGATAAAAATCGAATTTGCTGAACAAATTGTGAATATTTTTTTCTATAATTTTCAGAAAATTTTGTACGCAATTTAATCTAAATTATCTAAAATTGTCAAGGAAAAATATGCATGAATGTCGATAAAAATACACGTTTTACTAAGAGGAATTTGGCAAATCCCGGATGTTCTTACGGCGTTCTTCCTTAGCACGGCAGTGTAGCCGAGTGCACAAAAGAGACGCAAGCTTGGCAATGCGTGGAGGGAAACCAGTTCTCCGAGTCGGACAGAAACCAATTTGGAAAAGTTAGACGGAGGACCCNGGGGGGGGGGGGGGGGGCGCGCTACGTGACGCTCAACGCCCCGATCGGATCCGAGCGGAGGAGGTCGAAAAATATACTCAAAGACCTCCACCGGCTCCGAAGAGCTTGGTTCAGGCTTAGGGCGAGCCGGAGACGATATTTTAGAGACCCCGCAATATACTGCCATGCTGGAAGGAGTCGCCGTATCAGCCTTTAGTCGCTGCCCGATTTATTTTACTTCAATACAAACCGAATTTACTGAGAAAATGTTGGATATTTTTCTTGAAATTTTTCAAAGAATTACAGGGTGTCTAGTTTTTTTTCTTTCATTTTGGGAAATCCTGATTTTCCCTGTTTTTTGACCGCTAAATCCTGATTTCATATTTTGTCCAAATCCTCATCAAATCCTGACTTTTTTCGGAGAAAAATTAACGGACGGATAGCGGATAATTAACAGAAAATAAGCGGACGGCCGACTTTTCTCAAATCCTGATTTTACGACCGACTTTTCTTCAAATCCTGATGAAATCGGGATTAAATCCTGATAGACCTCAAATCCTGATAGAATCCGGAAAATCCTGACGCTAGACACCCTGAATTACGTTTAAAGCTTGATCTAAAATATCTGAATATTTCTTGGAGAAATATTAACAACGTTCCTCAAAAATACATATTTTATCCGGGCAAATTTGGCAACTCTCGAATATTCATACGGCGTTTTTCGTTAGCACGGAAGTATAGAAAAGTAATCGAGTGAAGCAAAAATTCATTTCGGAGGTCAACGCTATTTTCCACCATGGTTGAGGAGCAACTCGTGGAGAGAAAATCAGATTAAATTCCCCAAATGATGACTGATGAATGTCGGGGGTGAGCAATTTGTAAGGCGAGTTTTGACAAATTGGGTTAGGTTGGGTTTGCCAAACCAATTTGAGTACATTTTGCAATTAGGAGCTACAATTGTTGGCTCATCCGTAAAACCACTCATGCGCAATGAGAAACTAACGGTACCTACGTTTTTTTTTTTCAAAATTGGGCCAGCAATTGTACAATGAATAAGTTTAATCGCTCACCTCTTCAGTCAATCTGATTGTGAGCGTTCACTCAGAAAATAATTTTCACATTATATGTATACTGCCGCGCTAAGGAAAAACGCCGTGCGAACCTTCGGGCGTTGCTAAATTTCCATCGATATATTGTGAACTTTGAGGGAAACTTATGGATATTTTTCTACCAATTTTTCAGAGGATTTCATTCGAAATTTGATCTACAGATCTGAAAATTTCAAAGAAAAATATTCATGACTTTCTTCATGGATGAATCATTCAGTAAGCACAAGATGGCAACGTCTGAGGTCCCATACGGCGTTTATCCTTGGCACGGTAGTATAAAATAAAGTATATTCACGGTAAGATGGCAAAGCGGGGTTTCTGATCTCGTATCTGCGGGTCGGTTGTTGAATGGTTATCGAATGACCTTATTCGATATTTAGCATTGTGAAGATAGGGAGTTATCAATCGAGTTCATTCGATTACGATTCAACAATCGACTCGCACTACCGTGCTATGGAAGAACGCCGTATGAACATTCAAGAGTTGCCAAATTTCCTCCGAGAAAATGATTATTTTTGAGGAAAGTTACTAGTATTTTTCCTTGAAATTTGCAGGAACTTTGGGTGCAATTGCGAACAACATAATCTGACAAATTGGAAGGAAAATATTCAAAAATTTACCAGGAAATTCGTGTTTTATCAAAGGAAATTTGGCAACGCCTGAAGGTTCATACGGCGTTTTTCCTTCGCACGGCGGCGCAGGCCCGGAGCATGGACTCGATTACACTGGCCCCAAATCCACGAAATTCTGTATAATTTTACCGTAATTTACGTGAACGTAGCACAAAGAAAATACCGGTTTAAAGGGTGAACGAATCGACGGTACTAATGTTGAGCGGTCTTTGATTTTTGGCGTTAAACATTTTGGATTATTTATTCCCATGGGCGGAAAAACGAAGATAGGTAATTCGATCTTCGGGGGATTTCTGCAAAGTCCACAAGTCTCATAAATTATTTAGCTCTAGAGATTACCATCAAATTTTTCTCCTAGTATACGAATTTCCAGGAGAAGGATGTCTGCCTTTCCCTTGATTTTCCTGACGAAAACGAACGAAAATTTTTATGGTCTTTTATGGTCGATGATTTACCAGACCAGAAATATCAGCGTGCAACGTACCTACTTAAATGCACATAATATTCTGACGTTTTTCTTCATACGATCGTGAAAATTTGAAATGTAAGGGAAAATCGAGCATTAGGAAAAACATTCAGTCGAGTTCAGTTATGCAAGGACTTTTCAAAAGCATTCTTTTTTCAAAATTAACTGTGTCCTAACTTGGAGAATGAAAACTCAAAAAGAAAGAGAGAAAGGAAAAAACCAGTTATTGCACAGCATTCACCTGCGTGGGTAATTACTTTATGATCGTCGTCGTATGATTTAAGAAATAAACGGGAAAAAGAGGGAGAACTAAGAAATCACACTACACTAGGTACAAGAAAAATTGAATGACACGACCTTGAGTTCTTGCAAATTGATCACGCGACCCCAGTAAACAATACCTGATAAATGTGCGCGTTGTTTATT